CTGTACGCATGCCCTCATACACGTGACTAATCCCACAATGCATTGCCGCATGTTTGCGAGTGCTTGGCGAGAGCTAGAATAATAATTAGGCGACACCACTTTGTGTCTTGACTCTCGTCCCACGATACAGAATGTCATGGACACACGAGACCAGGCTCATATCAACAACCTCACCGATCACAAGTGGCGGTGTCTCATCGCCATCATCGTAACCCGTCCCACATCATCCCTCACGGTCCACCTCGCTCCTGCACGCGAGCTCAACTTAATTGCTCCATCTCTCCCAGTGCTCGTCCTCCTGGACATATTCTCTCCTTGGGCTGCAAAACACTCGACAGACTCCATCCTTCATCTCAGCCGTCATCGTCTCTTTGAGCGATGTGTCCGAGTCACACTCCCCTCAACCATCGCTGTTCTCTCTCGAGTTTACGTTCCCTAGTCCACGTGTTCATTCTCTAGTCCACGTGTTCATTCTCTAGTCCACGTGTTCATTCTCTAGTCCACGTGTTCATTCTCTAGTCCACGTGTTCATTCTCTAGTCCACGTGTTCATTCTCTAGTCCACACGTTCATTCTCTAGTCCGTGTTCATTCTCTAGTCCACGTGTTCATTCTCTAGTCCACGTGTTCATTCTCTAGTCCACGTGTTCATTCTCTAGTCCACGTGTTCATTCTCTAGTCCACGTGTTCATTCTCTAGTCCACGTGTTCATTCTCTAGTCCACGTGTTCATTCTCTAGTCCGTGTTCATTCTCTAGTCCACGTGTTCATTCTCTAGTCCACGTGTTCATTCCCTAGTCCACGTGTTCATTCTCTAGTCCACGTGTTCATTCTCTAGTCCACGTGTTCATTCTGTAGTCCACGTGTTCATTCTCTAGTCCACGTGTTCATTCTCTAGTCCACGTGTTCATTCTCTAGTCCACGTGTTCATTCTCTAGTCCACGTGTTCATTCTCTAGTCCACTCGTTCATTCTCTAGTCCACGTGTTCATTCTCTAGTCCACGTGTTCATTCTCTAGTCCACGTGTTCATTCTCTAGTCCACGTGTTCATTCTCTAGTCCACGTGTTCATTCTCTAGTCCGTGTTCATTCTCTAGTCCACGTGTTTCTTCTCTAGTCCACGTGTTCATTCTCTAGTCCACGTGTTCATTCTCTAGTCCACTCGTTCATTCTCTAGTCCACGTGTTCATTCTCTAGTCCACGTGTTCATTCTCTAGTCCACGTGTTCATTCTCTAGTCCACGTGTTCATTCTCTAGTCCACGTGTTCATTCTCTAGTCCACGTGTTCATTCTCTAGTCCACGTGTTCATTCTCTAGTCCACGTGTTCATTCTCTAGTCCACGTGTTCATTCTCTAGTCTACGTGTTCATTCTCTAGTCTACGTGTTCATTCTCTAGTCCACGTGTTCATTCTCTAGTCCACGTGTTCATTCTCTAGTCCACGTGTTCATTCTCTAGTCCACGTGTTCATTATCTAGTCCACGTGTTCATTCTCTAGTCCACGTGTTCATTCTCTAGTCCACGTGTTCATTCTCTAGTCCACGTGTTCATTCTCTAGTCCACGTGTTCATTCTCTAGTCCACGTGTTCATTCTCTAGTCCGTGTTCATTCTCTAGTCCACGCGTTCATTCTATAGTCCACGTGTTCATTCTCTAGTCCACGTGTTCATTCTCTAGTCCACGTGTTCATTCTCTAGTCCACGTGTTCATTCTCTAGTCCACGTGTTCATTCTCTAGTCCACGCGTTCATTCTCTAGTCCACGTGTTCATTCTCTAGTCCACGTGTTCATTCTCTAGTCCACGTGTTCATTCTCTAGTCCGTGTTCATTCTCTAGTCCACGTGTTCATTCTCTAGTCCACGCGTTCCTTCTCTAGTCCCCACGTTCATTCTCTAGTCCACGTGTTCATTCTCTAGTCCACGTGTTCATTCTCTAGTCCACGTGTTCATTCTCTAGTCCACGTGTTCATTCTCTAGTCCACGTGTTCATTCTCTAGTCCACGTGTTCATTCTCTAGTCCACGTGTTCATTCTCTAGTCCACGCGTTCATTCTCCAGTCCACGTGTTCATTCTCTAGTCCACGTGTTCATTCTCTAGTCCACGTGTTCATTCTCTAGTCCACGTGTTCATTCTCTAGTCCACTCATTCATTCTCTAGTCCACGTGTTCATTCTCTAGTCCACGTGTTCATTCTCTAGTCCACGTGTTCATTCTCTAGTCCACGTGTTCATTCTCTAGTCCACGTGTTCATTCTCTAGTCCACTCGTTCATTCTCTAGTCCACGTGTTCATTCTCTAGTCCACGTGTTCATTCTCTAGTCCACGTGTTCATTCTCTAGTCCACTCGTTCATTCTCTAGTCCACGTGTTCATTCTCTAGTCCACGTGTTCATTCTCTAGTCCACGTGTTCATTCTCTAGCCCACGTGTTCATTCTCTAGTCCACGTGTTCATTCTCTAGTCCACGTGTTCATTCTCTAGTCCACGTGTTCATTCTCTAGTCCACGTGTTCATTCTCTAGTCCACGTGTTCATTCTCTAGTCCACGTGTTCATTCTCTAGTCCACGTGTTCATTCTCTAGTCCACACGTTCATTCTCTAGTCCGTGTTCATTCTCTAGTCCACGTGTTCATTCTCTAGTCCACGTGTTCATTCTCTAGTCCACGTGTTCATTCTCTAGTCCACGTGTTCATTCTCTAGTCCACTTGTTCATTCTCTAGTCCACGTGTTCATTCTCTAGTCCACGTGTTCATTCTCTAGTCCGTGTTCATTCTCTAGTCCACGTGTTCATTCTCTAGTCCACGTGTTCATTCCCTAGTCCACGTGTTCATTCTCTAGTCCACGTGTTCATTCTCTAGTCCACGTGTTCATTCTGTAGTCCACGTGTTCATTCTCTAGTCCACGTGTTCATTCTCTAGTCCACGTGTTCATTCTCTAGTCCACGTGTTCATTCTCTAGTCCACGTGTTCATTCTCTAGTCCACTCGTTCATTCTCTAGTCCACGTGTTCATTCTCTAGTCCACGTGTTCATTCTCTAGTCCACGTGTTCATTCTCTAGTCCACGTGTTCATTCTCTAGTCCACGTGTTCATTCTCTAGTCCGTGTTCATTCTCTAGTCCACGTGTTCATTCTCTAGTCCACGTGTTCATTCTCTAGTCCACGTGTTCATTCTCTAGTCCACGTGTTAATTCTCTAGTCCACGTGTTCATTCTCTAGTCCACGTGTTCATTCTCTAGTCCACTCGTTCATTCTCTAGTCCACGTGTTCATTCTCTAGTCCACGTGTTCATTCTCTAGTCCACGCGTTCATTCTCTAGTCCACGTGTTCATTCTCTAGTCCACGTGTTCATTCTCTAGTCCACGTGTTCATTCTCCAGTCCACGTGTTCATTCTCTAGTCCACGTGTTCATTCTCTAGTCCACGTGTTCATTCTCTAGTCCACGTGTTCATTATCTAGTCCACGTGTTCATTCTCTAGTCCACGTGTTCATTCTCTAGTCCACGTGTTCATTCTCTAGTCCACGTGTTCATTCTCTAGTCCACGTGTTCATTCTCCAGTCCACGTGTTCATTCTCTAGTCCACGTGTTCATTCTCTAGTCCACGCGTTCATTCTCCAGTCCACGTGTTCATTCTCTAGTCCACGTGTTCATTCTCTAGTCCACTCGTTCATTCTCTAGTCCACGTGTTCATTCTCTAGTCCACGCGTTCATTCTCCAGTCCACGTGTTCATTCTCTAGTCCACGTGTTCATTCTCTAGTCCACGTGTTCATTCTCCAGTCCACGCGTTCCTCGTTCCGTCTCTCCACGCTTCTGTGCGCTTTTAAGATTTTGCTCAACTTTACATCGCTCATCTTAGCTGTCTCTCGTGATCTCGTAATTGACAACTAATATGTTTATCAATGGTGGCTTTCGTACAATTGAAGTGTGGTTCATCAAGTCTTGTACTTTATACATGTGGGTTCCATCCAGCATTGAAGGGAACAGTTGATTAAGCATTCAAGGAGGCGAACAATGTATTTTGTGACGTAAAACATTGTTGAATCATCTCAGGCCTGTGGCTCATGTAAAATAAAGCGTTGCTTTCTCTAGAAGATTCGTTGGAGTGTTGCCAGCTTGTAAAGTAGCAGCTGTACACAATCATAATTATCACTGATGGTGTTGCAAAGTGTGGGTGAGTCATTAGGGCCTTACTCATCACATGTGGCTGTGTCCCAATCCTGCTGTGTCATGTGGATACATCTAGATGGTTCTATTCTGCAATAGTTACGGGGGAATATAGCTCTCCCACGTATGTGATGTTCGTGTGATGTCCGACGTTTTTGTTCCAAGTAGTGGGAGCTTCTTCAGAAGAAAGCTTCACAAGCTTAGATTTATGAAGAAGCGCTCGGTACGTGGAGCGAACCGTCGGACGTAACGCACGAACAACACGCGGTAAACTAGGAAACGCGGGAGATCGATCAGCCGCAAACGCCTGCGCAGTATCAGCGGAACTCGTTCTCTCGCTGACTCCTATGGCAGGGGTCGCCAACATCTGCCGCTCTGTAAGGACCGCGTGGTGACCTTTTTGGTGACCTTTGTGGTGACCTTATTGGTGACCTTATTCACTTTGCATTACGGCTCTTGAAATATTGAGGGTTTTTTTACCGAATTCGAACAAAAGTAATAAAGACTCGTATTCTTTTCCTGGTTGCCGGCTCCTGCCCTAATGCCTGCACTTGGTACAATGACCTATTTGAAACGAGCTCCGTTCCAGAGATGATGAAAACAAATCCGTTCCCCATGTTCCGGCCACATAGTGAGCGTGGGAACGAATATTGGCAAAGCTCCCGTTCCACGACCTCGGTACGTGAATTGTTTATTAACTTTGTGCGACTAACAAAACAAGGGGAGCTCTTGGAGAGCTGGTGGGCAAACTCCGACATGAAAGGGGAGCAGCATCACGTGTCGTGTCATCAGTGCCTCTGCCACCACCGTCGTGAGGTCTAGGGCACTTGCCCCGGCTCGGGTTGTGTTGAGCAGCAGCAGCAGCAGCAACTCGCCTGCTGATTCTGCTGCCGCTGCCGCGCTTGTAAATTCCGGCTCGCCGCGGGAGTGAGCCACGCGGATGAGCGAGCGACAGAGCCGGAGGCGAGAGCCAGAAGCGAGCCAGGGGCCAGCAAGTAGCTGCAAGGGGGGGGGGGGGAGATTTGGCGGCGCGGGGATGGGCGACCCGGGGAGGCTGCGCGTGGCGGTGGTCGGTGCCGGGGCCGCGGGGCTCTGCGTGGCCCGGCACCTTCTGGCCCGCCCGCACGACTTCCACGCCCCGTGCGTGTGGGAGCTCGACTCGGCGGCGGGCGGCACGTGGGTGTACAAGCAGCAGCGGGCAGAGGCCAACCTCTCCAGCATCTACCGCGACCTCAGGTGCGTCCGCGGCGCGCTTCGTGCGTGCACGCGGGGTCGACTCGGCCGCACGTCGATCGACCACCAGAAGCGTGGCTCGGGGGGCTGTCGGCAGGAGATGAGCGACTTGCCACACTCACTGCGCCAGGGCGCAGGAACTCACTTTGCGTCGCGAGTTGTTCTGCGAGTGGTGCGTGTCGCTGCACCAATGACATACAACGTAGACTTTTTAACATCCCGGGGAGAGTCACGTTCCTTCTCTAGTACCTCGGAAAGAAACGTCACTTTCCAGCAAAAAGAAAAAAAACAAGGACGGGTGGCAACTCTGGGTGATGGTGAACATGCCACGTTACGTCTTCTAGTTTCGTGTGGCTGATGGTGTAGATGGAGAGCGGTGACCACAGTCTCACATTCAGGTGGCCAAGCCAGCGGAGTTGCACCATCGCCGTGACGTCCCCTTCGTGTCTGCGGATCGGGGCACTGCGTCTTCGTTATTTGCTTGCGCTGTCTGTTCTGGATGACCACGGTCGCAAGCTACGTCTGGAGAGTTTTTAATTTCCCGTGTGTGCATCATCAGATAGTCGCATCTACTGCCATGGTTCGTGCAGGGGATGCGATTGAGACGACCACTGTCAATTCCCACAATCGACGCTTTGTTGTATTCCACCCTGGCATGGTTGTGGGGTAAGTGGACTCCACACGGCGCCATCCTGCCGCAGGGCTACACCACAGCAGGCGCAGTGAACTGCAACGCCTTTCCAAACTATTGGATTAGTTATCTCATGAGTGGAAGTCCACTCAATAATGCATACGTAAGTTACTGAGTATCAGGTTTGTTACTAATTATATGGCTTCTGTTGCCTATTAATGTACAAATTGTAAGATAACATTTATTTTGTTACAACAGTTTTTTTTAATTGTATTATGATCATTTACAGCCCTTTGCCCCTTACCACTGCTGGATAGGGGCCTCTCCAAGCGATGTCAGTCAAGTGGGTTGTTTTACCATACTTGCCCATGCTGGGCAGAGCGGGTTGGTGAAGAATAGCGAGCAGCCCGGGCATGGTACACAAATATCACTCACCACTCACCGATGCTTGCTCTCTGAGTCAAACCCATCTCACCAGGTTCATAGCGCAGTGCCCAAACCATTGCGTCACTATATTCTTGGTTCTTTCGGTAAAGTCACGTAGAAGGGAAACAACAAAATAATAAAAATACAAAACAATAAAATTCTCACGACGTATTTTTATTATTTTGTTGTTTCCCTTCTACGTGACTTTACCGAAAGAACCAAGAATATGAATCCCTGCAGTCACGAAAGCTTTAAATCATTGCGCCACTGGTTCCACATTTTTTTTAATGAATGTTTAATCTGAAACAAACATTCAAAATGAACACTGTAATTGTTAAAGTGACAAATCATCACAACCGTCTGTGTGGAGAATGAAAAACAAAGGAGGCAAGCGGACGATGTCCCAACCACAAACGTTTCTCTTACACAACCCAATCGCCTCCACGGCCTTCTGGGAGTGCATCATTTCAGCAGCATTGCTTCAGTACAATCAAACTCTGGGCTGGTTTCAACACGTACAGCGTATAAGCATACATTGATTCAATCAAGCATCAGACGATGACCCATATCTGACAGAGGCTGCTTGCCTGTAACATCTGGCAGTTCACCAGCACTGATTCAAGCAAGTCTGCCTCTGCTGATGAGACGCTGCGTGTCAAACCCCCTACACGTGACTCCCAGGGTGATGTGCTGATGATGATGTCACCAACCTCTGGCCATCACCTGGCAGCAGAGGAGACTTTTTTCACCTCCGTTTTAATGTCACTCCGATTATATATGAAGAGTTCTTTCATTTAACTACTGCATAATCGATACTTCAATCGATTGATTAATCGGATAGCTCAGCTCGAACTTAATGCATCCCAGCTGTGAAGGCTTAATGCGTATTTAGAGTTAAGTGATGTAAACAAACAGGAAACTACTGTTTTTATATCAGATAAATGCATGGGATCTTTGGAAGTATACGAACGATGTCAGTGGAAGAACCATCTCAAGCGATGTTAACATTATCTTGCAGCGTGCAATGCCCAATGTAACACGGGGGCTCATTGCGATTGGTCTGTTCGACGCTGCTGCGGATTGTACGACTGGGTTCGTGCGGTACCCAGCGACACAAGGTTGGAAGACAAAGTCGAACGGCACCCAATTAAAATGGCAACAATTGGAGTGTATGGGCAGAAGCCGTGAAGAAAGAGTTCTGTGAAGGCTGAGAGACATTGACTCGCCACGTGGAATTGAGCCATCTTGACAACTATTCATGTTCGTGACAAAAGCAATTCCTTTAAAGCCGTAAATAATGAGCAATTAAGTTTAAACAATGTGCAGCCCTTGTTTCTTTGGAAGTCTGTACTAATTTAAATTTAACAATTGAGATCGTGCCAAGCGTTCAGGCTGAGACAACATGAGTCTGGTGTTGGTCCAGGGATCGTTAAACCCGGGGAAGAGTGGCCATGAATGCAGCCTGGCCCTCTGTTGGCCAATTATTTTTTTATTTTTTGATATAACCTTTCTCCGGGGTTATTTTGTTTATTTCCACGTGCAAACCGCTCTTAAGTAGGGACGCGGCCAAAACACAGAACGCGGCGCTCTCTCGGACAAATAAAACAACCACTTCGCATTTTCCTGCATTCACGAATAAATAAGCAAGACGACCGGCATAAATCGCCGTCTGTTGAACTTCTCACGCTGACGTTTGGTCGTCGATCGGTGCCGCACCCCGGCGGCACGCACGCGGCGGCTGCTGCCGGGGCCCGCCACGGCAGCCTGCGACGGTGACCTCTCGGCTAGGGCGCTAGGGGGTGAGTAGCGGGGGGTGGGACGCATCAAGTGGCCGAGGCACTCCGTTCTGCAACACGCGTGTGCTTCACACAACGCCTTGTGGTTGTGCGGCGGGTACTTTTGATAGCGTCATCGGGAGGTGCGTTCGCAGAGGCACTGCTGGAGATTGTTGCAGCGTCACGCTCTGTGCTACGTTTTAACAGAACGGATTGATGTCTCTTACGTAGCATGCGACCATTTCTGGGTTGTGCCACTCCTAGGGGTGAAATGTGTGAAATGCAATCTAATCCGTGTGATAAAGCACAGTTCTTCCTCGTGGTCGTGCTTATGTCAAAGAGTCCGCTGCTGCACGTGTGTGTGTGTGGCCACAGTGGGGAGCGGTCGCGCAGTGGTTCCTGCACTGCGCTACAAAACCGGTGACCCGAGTTCGATTCCTGCTCACGGCCAACGCCGTTGACAAATATGCGTGGGACTGAACCCCCCAATGATTGCCTGATGCAATGTGCAAAACATCGCCACAAGGGAGACAAAGGCGACCGGGCGTGGCGCTGGCCATCGACCCCTTTGTGCGCTGTTCCGGTCTTCATAGGTGCTCGCGAACAGTTTGTTAAGGCTCTACGGGGGATCTTTGTCTGTTGTTTTCCACAGGACTAACCTGCCCAAAGAAGTGATGGCCTTTCCCGACTTTCCTTTTGACAAGAGCCTGCCCTCGTTCCTGCATCACAGCGATGTCCGAGCATACTTGGACAAGTACATCGATCACTTTCATATCCGGCCACACATCAAGGCAAGACCCACCAGGCGTCGCATCAATCCACAGTGATGATTGTGCCACTGGTAGTTATTTTTTTAAGTTTGTCAGTTGTCTATCGTTGTTGGTATTATCCCACGCAGCCCACAAGGTCACATCGGTATAGGCAAAGGTTTTAAACCAAATGTTCGGCGGAACACCTCTGTTTTTTGGCGCGTGGTATGTTTCGTTCATACACCTGCAGTATTGTCGTTCATACACCTGCAGTATTGTCGTTCATACACCTGCAGTATTGTCGTTCATACACCTGCAGTATAGTCGTTCATACACCTGCAGTATTGTCGTTCATACTCCTGCAGTATTGTCGTTAATACACCTGCAGTATTGTCGTTCATACACCTGCAGTATTGTCGTTCACACACCTGCAGTATTGTCGTTCATACACCTGCAGTATTATCGTTCATACACCTGCAGTATTGTCGTTCATACACCTGCAGTATTGTCGTTCATACACCTGCAGTATTAGCCAGGGCGGCTGCTGGGCTCGAATCAAGAACTTCTGCAACAAGCGGCGAACGCTCGGCCTGTGGCCACTCCACTTCATTCCCCGTCGCCTCTTCTGAGACACAATTCTCATGAATTTTGCGTTGTTAAAATGAACAAGAATTTGAGCTCTGGACAGTGTGGCCATTTGTTATATATGGAATTGTTTTATGGTAATATATGAAACAAGCAATGAATGGGTGACAGTCCATGTAGTGTTTTAAATATTAAAAGAATATCTATTTCTACGTGCGAAGCAGCTGCAGATCATCACCTGGCATGTCTTTGTAGGCAACCAAACAGTTCATGAATTCACGCACGGATTGGGTATTGTCTAGCTAATCCAGAAATGAGTCTGCCTTTCAGTGTAAACAGTGGGCATCCTACGGATGGCACCCCCGCCATGGTAATGTGGAATTCCCACACTTGGCTGCTGGATATCAATGAAGACGACTGCCGCCCTAATGCTGACGATTTAAGCGGGGCGGAAGTCTCTCTGCACGCACACCGTGCTCCTCCGCGTCGTCCCGTGAACGTCTGCGCTATCGCCTGGGCGTGCGTGCAGCTCAAGTGGCGCGTGGAGCGGGTGCAGCCCGTGCCAGCACCGGAGGAGGCTCCTCGCGACGTGGCCTGGGATCTCACTGCGCGCAGTCTGGCCGATGGCGAGGTTGTCACTGAGCGTTACGACTCCGTCATCGTCTGCAATGGGCACGTGCCTCCACGTTCACACACTGCTCAGCGCACTTGAGAGCACCCATAGCACAGAGACACAAGCTCAGTTCGTATCTATTTACAGCTCATATATATACAGTAGTCAGAAATAAGTTTGGCTGTCGTGCATAATGTCTTTCAAGCAGACAGCTGTGATCACATTTCGAGCAAATGAAGGTGTGGAGGCTCGTGTCGAGGGAACGCCTGCCGATTATCACGCTGCCTAGGTTTGTAGGTGACCAGCGGCTCTGCCACCCTCTCGAAATCCTTGCTCCTTAAAATCTTGAATAATTAGCAATAAGTTATTTTCCAAAATGTCCCTCCCAAAATGGCACAGAATCTACTGTATGGTAGCCAATGTACGGTATTCATGTAACGTTTTATATCCATGTATTGATATATTTAAAGAATACAACTTGAGATACAGCAATATGTAGTATCAGAGTTGGCAATACTCTTTGTGAATGTTTATAAAGACTATAACATCGAATAGATCATCACCAAACATTGTCGAGCCCACTCCAGTGATCGGTCCTCTCGTGCCACAGCCTGGTGCTCAACTCATTCCGACAGCGTGTCACGAGCTTGTGCGCGTGTCACGCCGACAGTGTGTCACGATCTTGTGCGCGTGTCACGATCTTGTGCGCGTGCGTGCATTTGTAGAGCTTCTTTCGCACCGTACTTAACCAACCGTGCAAATCTTTCCCACGCGCGTGCGTTGTGATTTCCAGACATTATTCCAAACCGTATTTGCCAGACATTCCCGGCCTGGCCGACTTCAAGGGCCAGGTGCTGCACAGCCACGACTACCGCAGCCGCGAGCGCTTCGCGGGCCAAGCGGTGGCGCTGCTCGGAGCCGGCAACTCCGGCCAGGACATCGCCGTGGACGTCTCCCCCGTGGCCCGCGAGGTGTGGCTCTGCCACCGGCGCGCCCCGCTGCGCTCGCGGCTGCCGGACAACGTCCGGCAAGCGCCGTCCGTGCGGAGCTTCACGGAGCGCGGCGTCCTGCTGGCCGACGGCTCGGAGCGCGCGGCCGACGCGTTCGTCTTCTGCACCGGCTACGAGTACGCGTTCCCCTTCCTGGCGCCGGAGGCGCGCGTCAGCGTCGGCGACCGCCGCGTGTCGCCGCTCTACAAGCACATGATTCACGCGGCCACGCCGACGCTCGTCTTCGTCGGCCTCTGCAAGCTGGTCAACCCCTTCGCCTTCTTCGACTGCCAGGCGCGCTACGCGCTGGCGACGCTGCGGGACCCCGCGCTGCTGCCGCCGCGCCCCGAGATGGACGCGGAGGTGCGGCGCGAGTTGGAAGCGCAGCGCGCCGCGGGCGTTCCCGAGCGCGACTGTCACCTGCTCGGCGACCGCCAGTGGGCCTACATGGCCGAGCTCGCCCGCCTGCTCGGCACGCCCGAGGCCGCCCCTTCCGCCGCCGTGCGGGCCCTCTTCGACGCGGTGAGAGCTCACCGGGAGGCGAACCTTCTCGCGTACCGCAGCCTCAACTACGGGATCACAGGCGACGGTGAAGACGGCTGGTGCGTCGTTGACTCTGGCGAAGGGAGCCGATGAGCACCGCGGCTGCGTGCGGTCCCACCGCGTCGAGCCGCTGCCGTGAGCCGCTGCCGGCGTTCGATTCCCAACGTTAAAACCGCACACACAAGTCGACCATTCATAAAGACGAGTTAAATCATGTAGGGATGTTGTTTGTAGGCCAACTGGCCAAAATATGCTTATAGAATGTGTGCTCCACACTAACTTAACTATTGCTATTCTACCACTGATCTTTACAGCATTTTTTTCGGAAGCAACCTGGCAACGAGTGACAGCTAAACGTAGTGGCTTATATCACGTGGAAAATTACAGCGGTAGTCAAATACTCCAAACGTGTGATGTTGATTCTAAATGTGGAGGGGGAAACTGGAGGACCCGGAGAAAAATCCACGCGACCACGGGGAGAACACACAAATTCAAAACGTAACGTTCTGTATATGCACACTGGGGACTCACGGGTGATTGCACATCCAGAGAGAGCCATCGGAGACCCATCAGGCGAAGCAATGTCCCGTGTTGATGCCGGAAGGCGCCTCACACGACGCTCGCGCTGCTGGTGCACCAGACCCAGACAGCGCTCGCCACTGCCTTCTCATTCCCATCCAGGACTCTATTCCGGCTTCCATAAGCGGTGGTGTCGCTGATTCCCGTGGGCAGTTGCTGAGCCCATGGCTCGGCTCAGACTCAACTCGTGGAGATCCTGGGCATGGCTCGGATCATTTCTCAGAGCCGGCTCAAGGTTAAGAATTTGGCTTTGAGCCAGAGCCGAGCCTGAGCCGAGTCGAGTCACGATGAAGAATATGGCCCTCAAACGCTGTCCGGTGCCTCAAGAAAATGGTCCCGAATCTTGAAACACCCTCGAGTCTCCTGGCTGGCCAGTTTAAACATTTTGGCGAACCAAGTTGTTACTCTGTGGACTTTCCAAGTCTTTAAGCGCTGCCAGTGTAACCGTCGTACAACACACGTGCACCAGCACACAACACAACACACGTACACTAGCACACATCACAACACACGTGTACCAGCACACAACACACGTGCACTATCACACAGCACAACACACGTGCACCAGTACACAGCACAACACACGTGTACCAGCACACAACACAACACACGTACACTAACACACAACACACGTGTACCAGCACACAGCACAACACACGTGTACCAGTACACATCACACGTGCACCAGTACACAGCACAACACACGTGTACCAGCACACAACACAACACACGTGTACCAGCACACATCACAACACACGTGCACCAGCACACAACACACGTGTACCAGCACACATCACAACACACGTGTACCAGCACACAACACAACACACGTGTACCAGCACACATCACACGTGCACCAGTACACAGCACAACACACGTGTACCAGCACACATCACAACACACGTGTACCACCACACAACACACGTGCACAGCACACATCACAACACACGTGCACCAGCACACAACACAACACACGTGTACCAGCACACATCACACGTGCACCAGTACACAGCACAACACACGTGTACCAGCACACATCACAACACACGTGTACCAGCACACAACACACGTGCACTAGCACACATCACAACACACGTGCACAGCACACAACACAACACACGTGTACCAGCACACAGCACAACACACGTGTACCAGCACACATCACAACACACGTGTACCAGCACACAACACGTGCACAGCACACAGCACAACACACGTGTACTAGTACACAACACAACACACACGTGTACCAGCACACAACACAACACACACGTGTACCAGCACACAACACAACCCACGTGTACCAGCACACAGCACAACACACGTGCACCAGCACACATCACAACCCACGTGTACCAGCATACAACACACGTGCACCAGCACACAACACAACACACGTGTACCAGCACACATCACACGTGCTCCAGCACACAACACAACACACGTGTACCAGCACACATCACACGTGCTCCAGCACAGTGCCAAGATGCTTGGCTATGGAGTGGCCCTACTTGAGTTGAAGATAACTGAGAACCGCTCTAATGCCGGAGATTGCACACATACAGTGCAGTAGTATTATTGTTATGAAAGTGTTTATTAATCACCTTGCAATAAAGATTTTTGCACATCTGGTCAGGGACGAAATGCGTTATGCATGCTGTTTTCAGGATATTCTGCGGACATCTGGGACAAAAAGGGCCGATCAGAGGGAAATATTTCACTCTTGTGAGGGTTTAATATGGTACCTTCCACGTGAGCATTTAAACGAAGGCGTTCTTACCCAAGGAAGCCTTCGAGTTGCCGAACACTCATTAAAGTTTATAATTGATGTCCAATTATATAAAAAAAAATATTCCTTAATCACACCGCTTTTTGAAAGTAAAAAAATACATTTTGACGCGATCTTTACTTTGAAAATCTGTTTGCCTACCCAGTAAAAAGGATGAAGATTCAGCAGCCAAACTCTTTAATCTGTTGGGTTGGCCAGATGAACATAAATTATGTAAATATCGTGACAAGCAATACAGTATGTATAGTACAACAACCCACTCCTCTGGGAGCCTGCTCCCCTAACTCATGAAACAAGGCAACGATGTCACAGAGGTGTGTAGAGGCAGACGTCTAAGGGTGAACAATGGTGGTTAGCAGTGCTCCAGGTCCGATAAGAACGAGACATCAAACGATGTGGTCTTAAACAACTGAAGTTTGACGATCATGATATTCGTCAAATCTACCACCGAGGGCCACCGCCGTCTCACTGGAGTAAACCTGGAGGCATTATTGCTCGATGTGTTCCAGTTGGTGGCATAACTGTCAGGACATGCACCGTGCTGGCTTCACCACGAGATTCCTCTCCAGAATGGCCACAGCACTGGGGAGTGAGGTTCTTGCTTGACGGATGAGGAGGAGCACGAGGAGGGTTCGAGGATGGTGTGGAGGAGACACGTGCGCTGGAGCCAGGTGGATTGTGGCATTGGAGGCATTCGCGTGCACAGTAGACACGCTACAGTCCTTTCTCACGAAAGGACTGTAGGGTGTCTACTGTGTCAGGGGCAGCAGCAATACGTCTCCCCTACAGTGGATGCATACAGAAGGCAGCGAATACTTTTGACAATCAATCAATGACAGTTGTAAACCAAACTAACGCGAACATTGCAGCATAGATCGCAGGTCGCCGCAGACGGGAATTGGACGTGGAGAGCGAATCAATGTCACGAACACATTTCGGTCTTCCTGGGCAGAGTTGTTCCTCCCGCCGACAGGGGCAGACAGCGATGCTGCTCATGCCACCCAACCGGTTCTCCCAGTGTCGGTGACACGTGGCCGGAGTGAGTTCCCGCTTCGGTGTTCCTGAGGTCGCCCTCGTCACTCACTCCTCACTCACTCACTAGCTCGCTCACTCCTCACTCACTCCTCACTCACTCACTCACCCACTCACTCACTCACCCACCCACTCACTCCTCACCCACTCACTCACTCCTCACTCACTCACCCACTCCTCACTCACCCACTCCTCACTCTCTCCTCACTCACCCACTCACTCCTCACCCACTCACCCACTCACTCCTCACCCACTCACTCCTCACCCACTCACCCTCTCACTCCTCACCCACTCACCCACTCACTCCTCACCCACTCACTCACCCACTCACTCCTCACCCACTCACTCCTCACTCACTCACCACTCACCCACTCCTCACCCACTCACCCACTCACTCCTCACTCACCCACTCACTCCTCACTCACCCACTCACTCCTCACTCACTCACGCCTCACTCACTCACTCCTCACCCACTCACTCCTCACCCACTCACTCCTCACTCACTCACTCACTCCTCACTCACCAACCCAATCACTCACTCACCCACTCACTCCTCACCCACTCACTCACCCACTCACTCCTCACCCACCCACTCAGTCACTCCTCACCCACTCACCCACCCACTCACTCCTCACCCACTCACCCACTCCTCACTCACTCACCCACTCACTCCTCACCCACTCACTCCTCACTCCTCACTTACTCACCCACTCACCCACTCACTCCTCACCCACTCACTCCTCACTCCTCACCCACTCACTCACTCCTCACCCACTCACTCGTCACCCACTCACCCACCCACTCACTCCTCACTCACTCCTCACCCACTCACTCACTCACTCCTCACCCACTCACTCACTCCTCACCCACTCACTCACCCACCGACTCACTCCTCACTCACTCCTCACTCACTCCTCACCCACTCACCTACTCACTCACTCCTCACCCACTCACTCACCCACTCACTCCTCACCCACTCACTCCTCACCCACTCACTCCTCACCCACTCACTCACCCACTCACTCACTTCTCACCCACTCACTCCTCACTCACCCACTCACCAACCCAATCACTCACTCACCCACTCACTCCTCACCCACTCACTCCTCACTCACTCACCTCCTCACCCACTCACTCACCCACTCACTCCTCACCCACTCACCCACTCACTCCTTACCCACTCACTCCTTACCCACTCACTCACCCACTCACTCACCCACTCACTCACCCACTCACTCCTCACCCACTCACCAACCCAATCACTCACCCACTCACTCACCCACTCACTCACCCACTCACTCCTCACCCACTCACCAACCCAATCACTCACCCACTTACTCACCCACTCACTCACCCACTCACTCACCAACCTACCCACTCACCAACCCACTCACTCACCCACTCACTCACCAACCCACTTACTCAACAACAACCGCTATTCGCCACTAAGTGACGGTGACATCAACACGGCGCTTGTGCCAGGCTATGTGCACTTTAAGGCCACGTGAAGTGTCGAACGCCCGCTGGCAGGAAGTCACGGGACAGACCCTGCAGGTGCCACGGGGTGACTGAAGCGACTGGCTGATGCACCACCTGGGTGCCCCCTACTGTGCCAACTTGCTGCGTTTTAGCTGCACGGCGCGCCGCTCGTTGTTGTCACCCGCCCAACTCACCCACCCACCCAAATCACCCACCCCTCCACCCCCACCCATTCACCCAGCCACCCACCCCTCCAGCCCCACCCATTCACCCAGCCACCCACCCCTCCACCCCCACCCAATCACCCAGCCACCCACCCCTCCACCCACCCGCCTGAGCAAGTCTTGGCGAGTGACACGCAGCCCAGGCCACAGGTGAGCGGGCATCGAATTCGGCCTGGCCGGGATCGTCGCCGAGCGCGCGCACGGCTCCACTGCCGCTCCCGGCCCGCGACGCAGCCCCCGCCGGCTTCGTCTGACCCCGCCGGCTTCGTCTGACCCCGCCGGCTTCGTCTGACCCCGCCGGCTTCGTCTGACCCCGCCGGCTTCGTCTGACCCCGCCGGCTTCGTCTGACCCCACCGGCTTCGTCTGACCCCGCCGATTCGTCCCCTGCCAGCAAGCGGATGAAGCGAGGCGAGAAAACAGCCACTGCCCCGGGGGGGCTTCCGTGCGCTGCTGCTGCTGGTAAGTACCCAGGGTTATGAACCGATTGTCAGTGAACCGGTAACCGTTACCAGAACCGATCACCTATTCCGATTGAGAGGAATCGTTCAAGCTCTGATTGGTTAGCGGCAAACGTGTTTAGATCGAAGTCACCCACCGCGTCATTTGTCTTTGTGTGTGCTCAGGTTAAAGGATAAAGGCTCTCTTACTAGTTCACGCCAGCGATTACAGATCTGCGTGAGTGGGTAGGTGGACATGCGAGTCTGAGCGAGTCTGAGTGAGTCAGTGAGTCTGTATGAGTGGGTGGGTGGACATGCGAGTCTGAGCTAGTCTGAGTGAGTCAGTGAGTCTGTGTGAGTGGGTGGGTGGACATGCGAGTCTGAGCGAGTCTGAGTGAGTCAGTGGGTCTGTGTGAGTGGGTGGGTGGACATGTGAGTCTGAGCGAGTCTGAGTGAGTCAGTGGGTCTGTGTGAGTGGGTGGGTGGACATGCGAGTCTGAGCGAGTCTGAGTGAGTCAGTGGGTCTGTGTGAGTGGGTGGGTGGACTTGCGGGTCTGAGCGAGTCTGAGTGAGTCAGTGGGTCTGTGTGAGTGGGTGGGTGAACTTGCGGGTCTGAGCGAGTCTGAGTGAGTCAGTGGGTCTGTGTGAGTGGGTGGGTGGACATGCGAGTCTGAGCGAGTCTTGAGTGAGTCAGTGGGTCTGTGTGAGTGGGTGGGTGGACATGTGAGTCTGAGCGAGTCTGTGTGAGTCAGTGGGTCTGTGTGAGTGGGTTAGGAGTGAGTGAGTGGGTGACTTAGTGGATGAGTGAGTGGCGGATGGACCTTCACGAGAAGCCCCTCTCGAGGGTATTTGGTCTACTCTTGCACGCTGTTGGACAAGGTGAGAGTACCCACATTTCGCCCCTCCACACGCGACCGACAACTTGTGGTATTCACCCATTCTGACTTCTGGGCATTGGTGAAACGTGCACCATGTCGACTCGACGCGGAGACGTCTGGGTGGCGATGAGCCCAGTTGCACTCTCGACACGAAAACCACGACACCGCCACAGCCGCCGCCTGCGTTCCCAGTCGGCCCGGCACAAACAATGACAACTCTAGATTTGAAGCTTTCATGACTGCAAGGATTCATATTCTTTGTTTTTTTTCGGTAAAGTCACGTAGGTAGAATAAAATAAATGAAAACAACTAAATTAAATCACGACGTTTCGGAGGCAACACAAGTTTCCGTCTTCAGGTGGAAACCGTCACAGCACAATTGCAGTATCAAGTGAAGAGAGCTCTAAGAGACCTGAGATTATATACAGGTTAAAGGGGGGGGGGGGAGGAGCCAGGATTGGCCGTGGGGGGGGGGGGCTAAGTTAAGTCGCCTTTTGTTATGCTGCAGGTGGTTAGGGGGACGGAGAAGGGGATGGCGAGCGGTTGTCGAAAATGAGAGAAACCAACTGTAAGAAATGGAAACGGCTGTACAATTATAAGGCAGCTAAAGTTTGACTTGGTTGATGACATATTTCCAATGATTGCTTAATTTAAAACCATCCCCTCGGTTGAAGTTGTGTCTATGTTTGTATATCTGGATGGTTTCATGGACAAATCTTTGATAATATCTGATCAAAGCACCCGGGCATCGATCAGCCTCTAATTATATCTGTACCAAATGGAAATTCCCCCGTTACAGCTATTGAACGTTTCACGAACTACGTGGTCAAAATAGATGTTAAATAATGTGGGAGCCAGAGGAGATCCCTGTCGCACCCCAAGGTATACAGGGAATGGCTCCGACTCCCGGCCACGTAGTTTTACCCGGGCCCTCTCACCATCATGAAGGTCCTTAATGATCGTGAGCAGAGGGTCAGGTACTCCAAAAGCACGAAGAACAACCCAGAGCCCAGGTCTACTGATGGTATCATTGGCCTTGACCAGGTCAATAAAGCAGAAATGTAGGTCTTGCTGGAATTCCCTATACCTCTGCTGTAGCAGATGGACAGAAAATATGGCATCCGTGCAGGACCGCCCTTTCCTGAAACCGCATTGGGGCTCCGCAAGCCTCTCCTCAGCGTGCCTGGCAAGGCGATGTTGAATAATCCTTGCCAGGACCTTTCCCGGTACACTGAGGAGTGAGATGCCCCTGTAGTTGTTACAGTCTGTGCGGTCCCCCTTCTTAAAGAGGGGGACCACCAGGGCATCCTTCCAATCCTGCGGAACCTGTCCAGTGGTCCAGACTGTTGTTATGATGTCATATAGGGCAGTCTGTGCACAAACGCCACCTTCCCTCAGCATTTCGCTTGGGAGATAATCTCTGTCCGCTGCCTTTCCTGGTCTCAGACTCGGGATCGCCTTCAGTACTTCCTCAACAGATGGCACCTCAGCCAGCCACTCACAGGGGGAGACTTCTTCCAATATGTGGGGCACCGCAGCCTCAGAAGTGTCATCCCCACTTTGTGCCACGATGTTTTCCTGGCTGAGGGATTTCCCCTCCTCCAGGACCTCACAGAAATACTCAGCAAATCTGCAAACCTGTTCCTGGGGGTCGGAGATTGGATCACCGTTTTTTCCCCTAATGATGGTAATAGGTGTGGCGCTGCAGGTTTATTTTTTGATGGAGTTAAATAGAGATTTGTGATCACGGGCCACTGAGGCACACACTCCCACACACACACATACTACCACACCCACACACGTATTACCACACCCACACACATACTACAACTCCCACACACATACTACAACACCCACACATACTCCCCCACACACACACAAACTCCCACACACATACTACCACACCCACACACCCACACACTCCCACACACATACTACCACACCCACACACACACCCACACATACTCCCACACACACACCGACACACACGCACACACACTCCCACACACATACTACCACACACACACTCCCACACATATACTACCACACACACACCCACACATACTACCACACATACTCCCCCACACACACACATCCACACACACTCCCACACACATACTACCACACCCACACAAACGCCCACACATACTCCCACACACATACTACCACACCCACACATACACCCACACACACTCCCACACACATACTACCACACCCACACACATACTACCACACCCACACACACACCCACACACACTCCCACACACATACTACCACACCCACACATACTCCCCCACACACACACCACCCACACACCCACACACACTCCCACACACATACTCCCACACACATACTCCCACACACATACTCCCACACACATACTCCCACACACATACTCCCACACACATACTCCCACACACATACTCCCACACACATACTCCCACACACACAGCCATACACATACTACCACACCCACACACACTCCCACACACACACACCCACACACACCCACACACACACCCACACACACAGCCATACACATACTACCACACCCACACATTAACCTGCCGGTCCGCATCTTTAGAATTGTTGAAAGTAATAAAACTTTTTAAAAACGTACAGCACAGGGAAACAGGACGGAGACGATTCCGTGGAGTGAACGCGATGTCAGCTGTGCCCCGTGCAGTAAACGCACGCGACCCCATTCACAGTCGTCATCTGACAAGTCACCATCTCTCGCGGATAACAGGGACGACGATTATGACGGTAATGATGATGATGATGACGAGGTTGTGATGATGATGACGACGACGACAATGACGAGGTTGGGAGAATGATGGCGCTGAGCGACGATTCTCAAATATTTCCAGGGCGTAACAATCCTACTCTGGACGTGAAACTAATGCAGCATTGTGTTTGATCTCAATTGCAGATAAAATAACGCTGAGAAAAATATGAACTTTACCCTCAAAAGGTTGGTAACCTCGATACTTGCTCTGCTCCTGTTTGCCTCTTTGCTTCACCATGGCTTCGAGTCGCTCAACAAACGCACGCAGGGGCCTCTGAAAGTTACCAAATGCTGCGGCCACACGTGTCTGCTGCGCACGGAACCCTTCACTCCAGCACTGCACGCAAACATTCTGATCGTGTCAGCCTTCTGGGACAACAGGCAGTGGCCAAACGTCGTCCGTATTTTGGCCATCGTAAACCGCGAGAGGCGTTACGCCCTCAGATGCAAGTTTTGTTCCAGCAACAGCTTCATCCATTATGGAACTCTCGCCAAGGTGTACGTGCACAATGACCATTTCAACTTCCCTTGGGCTCTAGCAGACATCATATGTCTTCCTGTGTATTACAAAGAACATTACACTCCCGACTTTGTCGCCTTGCAGCACAATAAAGCCACGTTTCCGCTCATACCCATTGAGAATATGGGGCGACTGTCCCAAGAGTTAAGCTTCACCCACGACTTTGGCGTCTGCATCTCCACCCTGTTCGGAGGCTACAACAACGTGCTGCAGTTCACGCAGGCCATGGAGATGTACCGGCTGCTGGGAGCGGGACGCGTCACCATCTACAACAGCAGCTGCGGCCCCGAGTTAGACCGGGTGCTGGCCCACTACACGGCCACTGGTCTGGTCGAGGTGATCCCCTGGCCAATAGATCGGTACCTCACGCCGTCCACGGGGTGGACGTACCCAACTCACCCGGGCGACGTGCATTACTACGGACAAATAGCCGCTCTCAACGACTGCCTCTACCGACACATGTACGACACGCGCTACCTGGTGATGAACGACGTCGACGAGATTATAATTCCCGTGGGTTGCGCTGACTGGCGTTGTCTTCTTAAAAGGCTCAACAGGCTGTACCAGGCTGATATTTACATGGTTGACAGCCACGTCTTTCCGTACACAGCCACGGACGACTTTGGCAAGATGTTCGATAAGTGGCAGAATATTCCAGGGCACAATATTTTGACGCAGGTGCGACGTGAACCTAACATCCCGGGCACCTTTAACCCAAGCAAATTGATTGTCAATCCAAGAAAGGTCATTTGGACTTCGGTGCACTCTACGGAGAGAGCCATTGGTAAGACAGTGCGTGTGCCCGCTAGGTATGCCAAGATGCACCACTACCGTACACCCGAGCAGCCCACACTGCCCAAAAAAGAACTCATCTTTGATGCTAAAATGTGGCATTACTATTCTGCCCTTATTGACAATGTGAACACCGTTTTGTATGAAACGGGGTTTCTTACGTAGAGCGGGTCGAATGGGAACAGCGTGTATTGTGAGCGAGTAAAGAGCTGGGTTCTGAAGTTGGTGCATGCGCGACTTCCACGGATACATTTGACATATTTTATTTCAAAATAGCTTTTTTTGTGTGAAAGGTTCAAAGTGGTATGTTGTCGTCTCTAAGATTCTGGTTTTCCTGCGACATTAAGATATGCTGTGAAGCCAAGAGGTGTCGTGGTTATGCAGTGAAACACGTAGGCGAAACCCTACGTGTTAAACAAACCTCTCAAAGCTCGACTGATTGGGGCTTCCCGGCTATGGATGGGGTGCCTGGAATACTGCACGAAACTAAATAATCCATTGCATTGACAGATAACCCAACACATTTAATTCAAATGTAGTAATGTGATAGCAAGTAACGAAGTATTTATAATTGTATCGGACTTGAAAATATCTCATTTTTATTCACCATTATTCATGCAAATTGCAGCTTGCAACACTGCACAATCTGCAACACACGGAAGTGTATACTTATACTGGTAGGAACGAAGTTGTAAACTGAGTGTACCAGCCTGCAATAGATCAATGTGTTCGGCCGTCCGTCCGTCCGTCCCCTTTCAATACTTTAACGAAGTGAAATCTCGTGCTGTTGGGGTGTAAAAATAAAATTGCGCAAAATTCCAATGTTCCTACCAGCCCACCCTGCAGGGACCTGTTATTAAGATGTTTTCAGCGAATGAGAATGTGTACACGTGGGAGGGAACGGGAAAACGTGTGTGAGGGGGCAACACTCTATCCCATACAGATGGGACAGATTACATTATTCCACACTGCTGTACCGCTATCTCCTAGCAAGCCGGGGTATGGCACCTCGATGCCCAGTGCTGGATTACTGGTGTGCAGAGCCATCACTTCCCCAGCACAAATCGTTGAACAATAAAGCTTAATCCGAGCCACTTATCCTCTGCTTCACGGTGGTGGTTAAAGGCTGAGGTTCACCTCGTGTGGAAGGCTCCATTTATTTTATTAATTTGCTTATTTAAAAACTGAGAATACACCGAGAGCACACGGACCTGTCCAAGTGCACGGGTTCACCAAATTCCATGCAACAGATAAGCACTTGATGTATATATAGCTTTAAACTTGTTGGTACACATAATTGTGTCAATTGTATTCACTGTATTACACTGCTCAGGCCTGCAATTGGTAGCCAATCAGCCTATGAGCTAGTAGCAGCCCATGGCACTGCTATAGTCACCCAGTAGCAGCCCATGGCATTGTTATAGTCACCAAGTAGCAGCCCATGGCATTGTTATAGTCGCCCAGTAACAGCCCATGACACTGCTATTGTCACCAGTTGTCATACTATCTGCTAGATCCGGCACCTGTTCAGTTAACACCCAGTCACCAAGGCCTATTCTTGCAGTGGGCCACCATCTGCCTTTCTAACCCAGAGAATACATTTTCAGAAATACGTGTTTCTCAAGCCAAGTTTATTTTCACAAAGTGATTAAACAGTTGCTCAGTCTTAACACCAAAAAAATGGGTTTAACATAAGAAATTATGATTACCAGCTGAGTCCACTCTCACTAATGAATTTGTCCAAAAGTAAATCTTACTATGAGTAGCTGACTCAAGATGTTGTCGTTTTTTCAACAAAGATATTTCAAAACCTAGTAAAAATGCTGTTCATTACATGTGCTTTCCAAAATAAAGTCTGTTGATAGTTAGCATGTCAAATGTATGTATCAATATATACAGTCCATTTTTTGCTTATACCAATATGCTATATCTCGATTGAGAATGGTCATGAAATGTCAGGTTGTAAGGGGCACAGTTCAGAAAACGATGGTTACCTGGTCCAGGGTGGCCAATTTACGTGCATTGTGAAAGGGTGTCAAGGTAGGGTGATGTGCGACATCTTCATTGATGTAAATGCGATCGTCCATTCCCAAACGGCCTCAAGCGTCGTCACACGTACAGCTGAATGAGCTCATCGCTCACGGCAGACGGAGTGAGAACCCCCAGGTCGGTGATGAGCAAAGTGAGGAATGCGGGCGCCGTGTAGTCCGTGCGTGGGTGGGCTCCTGATCGAGCTTCGTTTGACAGCAACACATCTGGTTCGTACTGGCAACACAGCCACGTACAAAACACAGTCACCGAAATGCAATGTGGCAGGGAACACGACAGTCAAATGTAATCAGCCCTGCAGTTGTCTGCTCAGCCAGCGCTACCAGGAGGGTCTCCACTAGAGAGAGCTCTCCAGGGTACTTGGCCTACTCTTCTACGCTGACCAGAGATGGGAGGACTCGCGGGCTTTGAGATTTAATAAATTTGCCCATTTCAACTGCCGCGCCGAAAGATTTAATCGAATGCAAGTCCATTGTGGCAACCATTACATCACAGCAGTTCCCTAACATGTCATAATGCAATAATAATACATGTTAATTTACATTCATATATTTTACCTAAGGGAAGATGCTGGCAAAAACAAACAGCTTCACTCGTGAAGAGAATAAATCCACTTAAATGGCATCACTCAAGTGCTCCTTGTCGATTTTAAACTGTTTAGCTCGAACTTTAAGCTCGTGTCAGACAGCTAACCTAGTAACTACCAGAGCTATTTGGTTTCTGGTTAACATCTCCATTTAATGGAATAGTCCAGTGAACAGAAAATCAATAATCAGATGACATCTCATCTGAAATGTTTCTCAGTACAGCCCGTCAATGGCTGAGTAACGTAATGCGATAATAGAATTCCATTGTGTGATTAAGTATATTTGCATTCAGAATTTGATGGAATAGTTTCCCTATATTTATGAAAAACGTAATGTCCACCAAAATATGTATTGGTGGAAAAACAGCCTCAAGCAGTAGACTCCTGATCTGTCTTGAGACTCGGTGAAGCTTCCCTCGATAAAGGGAATTATTATTAAGACAACTAACATTGGCCCTTATGATTTCACTTAAAATATCTACTTCAACAAGTATAGACACTCATTTTACTTCAATCAGATACATTCATTTTATGTACACGTATTATAATTATCTTCGCAACAAACTGCAAACATTAATTTATATTTTAAAATATAAAAAACTCACAATTAAAAAAAACTTGCATAAAACAATAAGCTGCAAAGTTCAAGAGTTACAGCACCTGAAGCGCTCTAACATGCACTTTCGCCGACGCACGTTTGTGAATTATTGCCCGACATGATACACACAGCCACGACCCGACTCCGCTGGCGTCATTCTGCAAAGAGATTCGTGGCACCGGGGTGCAAAGCGTTGCCACCGTCAAGTCCATCTCTACCCCCTCCCCCCCCAGGTGAAGAAGGACCATTGCCCAAAACGTTGGCCTCGTGGATTTATTGTTCTGTTATGAGGCAGTGTTTGTGATTAATTTGTTGAGTTATCTGACATGTGCTTGTGCACCACTGCCAACGTAGCCCAATCAATCTTTATTGGAAAATCTGCCGTTGCATAATTACCTTGTATTTTTCAGGTACGTCCTGTTGGTTTAACGGGTAGAGTCTCATGAATTTGAAACTTTCTGCTACCACATACAGCGGTTTATTTTGCGCCTTAGCACAGATTGCCATCTGGTACGTGCCGATCTGCAACGCACAAACGCACAAAGGTTAAAATTGAGTTGACGAATGGCTCAACAATGTTGGTGGTGCTCACTCTGCTTTATATAATATCAATGCAATTTATAACACGTACAATATTTCACAAACATACACCGCAATAAAGTATTAAAGCTTTCGTGACTGCATAAAATTACTCATTGGTTTTTTCGGTGTATGTCAATGCGCTTTTTTAAATACACAGGGCATACATACTTCCACAGATATGGGTACAACAGACACGATTCAGATGAATATAAATGGAATCAATGTTTACTGTGCTCACCGCAGACGCGCTTTGACCACAGGCAAACACAGCGATATGCACACACGCCCACACAAAAGCACACAGACGTACACTCACAGCAAGACGAATGCACACACAGTATGCACGTGAGCAAACAATGAAATTAGATCCATTCGGGCATTGACGCACGGAGTAATAAAACTCCACCGGTCATGTGCCCCCCACCCCATGCACCAACCCGTAATGACCAGGGTGGTGAAGTATGGTAACACAACGCCTATGACCGACATGGCATGGGCAAGCCTTCATCCAGGCAGCGATGACTTTCTGTAATTAGGAATAAATGTATATATCATTCTTCAAGGATTTAAAAATGAGAGACCTATTTGTGGTTGTTCTATGCACTGACCCCTACCAGACAAATATGAAATTTCCAACACTGGTTCAGAGCTGACAAAATGAAGATGAGCACTGGCCAGTGACGTGATAATGAATTGTGAGAATAAGTCAACAGATATATCGTGATAGGAAGGGTGTGTTCTGGATGGAAGTGGCTAGATGTGAAGAGGATCTGATGGCCTTTGGGTCTAGGTAAGTGGGGAGAAGGTTCGTCACTTTATTCCAGAACCTGGGATGTAATTAGAAGCGTATAATATAAAACGGCAGGAAAACATGACAGACGTTATTAAAAAGAGGTTCCAATGGCTGAGGTCAGTTTTCCGGACAACGGAGGAGGCTGGCAAGGCAGAGGCACCTAAAAGAGCAAAGGACAATTGAAAAGTAGTCTTTGTAGATCAGGTGTTAAAACTGCACAACCATTACAGATTCTGGAACGGGAAAGCAATAGCGACGCTTGGTGCATCAACAGCAAAAGCCGTGATGCCGTCTTGTCTTTGACAAGCACAGCTATCCCCACACGCAGGTACACGGACGTGAACAAGCATGTTCAACGCGCACAAGCTCACGAGCAAAGACATACGGCATACCTTGTTAATGATTCCTCCGCTCTCCACAACTCCTTCTGCTCCTACAAACACCAAATCCACTTGCTCCATGATGTAGCTGAAGACAGTGCCAAGGACACCACAGAAAACCACTCAAAGCGTTGATGTACTCTGTCACGACCATCAGCACAAAATGCACCATGCTTACCACAGTTGTCATGGGTTGAAAACTTACAGAATATACATGTATTTGTTTGGTGTCATAACTGGAGGTCGTGAGTTTGCATGTAATATGTACGCAGGTGGAACTTCTTTCGCACTGTACGTAGCCACCCAGAAACTTTCCACAGCAGGACTACAATAATCCACACCATGTACATCTCGGCCACGTGGCACTGGTTCGGCTGGCTGCCTTCTGTCCCTTGAGCTCTGGCTCCGTGGCCTCCCAGTTCTGGTTCCAACGCTCTGTCCCATTCTTGAAATATGCGCACGTTATAAATTGTGTTTATTATTCGTATTTATAATTATTACGCGGGGCGACCGTATCAACGTGGATCCCCCCCCAATCCACGGCGCACTGCAGAGGTTGCGTAATGTGCAACAGAACACGTGGCCAGCGCATTGTGCCACGCGTTATGGGAGGGAAGCGCGGCACGTGACCCGCCGCTAAAGTAATCCGCGATAAATTCTTGCTTCTTTCGGTAAAGTCACGTTGAAGGGAAACAATAAAATAATAAAGTATATAAAACAATATATTTTATTATTTTATTGTTTCCCTTCAACGTGACTTTACCGAAAGAACCAAGAATATGAATCACTGCAGTCACGAAAGCTTTAAATAAAAAATTACAAGGTTATGGGTTTTTCTAAGAACTAAACGAGACAAATCTATCTGCCGTATGGGTCGAGGTTGAAGGATATTTAGCATTTTTTTATTTGACATCCAAGTTTTAGAAATTCTAAATTATTTTCTCCTAAACAAATGCAGCCAGCACACACAGCTCATCTGTGCGGATGTAAAAGCAAATTGGACAAACACCCTTGCCTCTGCGTTTCCCTGCAGCCCAACTCTGCAGCCCGACTCTGCAGCTCTGCGTTTTCCCCACCCCACTTCCACGCGTCGCGGTTTGCAGTTCCGCAAAGCATTTTCACTCCATTGTGAGACCTCCTTTGTCAAAAACAAGATATAGTAATAGGTTGTGGTTATTGCAGACATGATGCCTTGAATAAAGGTGTCAGTTTTTTGTGCCAGTTAAAAGTGTAAAACCTATTACTATATCTTGTTACTGGCAAAGGAGGTCTCATAATGTAAATGCTCACCCCGAGCCCTCAATACTCTGATAGTGCGCTGTTTTTGAGTTGTACGCCTTTTGGCATCATCTGGTCCAACACCAGTGGAGACTAGGCTCTAAAGAAAGCCGTCTCGGGTGTGGACCAATCAAATTCAAGGACAGTGCATATTATTATCAGAGTTGTCTTTTGGTTTGCATTTTGACTGCTTGTGTTGTGGTTATTGCAAACATGATGCCTTTAATAAAGGTGTCAGTTTTTTGTGCCAGTTAAAAGGGTAAAACCTATTACTACATTTTCACTCCGCCGCTGATTACGGGGGTAGTCACGAACCGCCAATAACTCGCAAATGACAAGGGATACGCGGATTACTGGAGTTCTGCTCTATGTGTAGATAACGTGTGGACTAAGATAATAGGGACAAAGATATATACGTATGATCCCCAGTCAAATTTATAACATGTCCCTGCGGAAGCTAAAAGCCAAATATATTCTCGGCTTACCCGACTGCAGCGTCCAGGATAACAGTTACAGGAACGGAAAGCTCCCGGATTCGCTGGGCCATGGCATGTCTGCGATTCAGAATTAACACAGTCACACGTCTACCAGAGCCCACCACGGCACATGCACAACAGTTGCTGAACAATTCAAATCTGTAACATCTAAGTAGAAACATCAGCACAGGCCGGAAAAACGAATGGTTTAACAACATGCAAAAACATGCACTTAGTGTATGTGGAGCCCTCAGCCTGCAATCTACCAACCCTCGAGGACCTGCACACGACAAGGTCCATGAGGCGAGCGAGGAAGATTATGGTCGATTTCTCCCACCCTGGACACTCTCTGTTTCAGCTACTCCCCTCTGGCAGAAGGCTTCGGTCCATCAGGACCAAAACCTCACGCCATAAAAACAGTTTTTTCCCATCTGCTGCTGGCCTGTTAAACAAGGCCAAGGGCTTACACTGTTTTTAACATTTTATCTACATAATGACACCTTGCCGATATTAACTATGTTAACCTATTTGTATTTTTTATTTTAAAATTATATCTTAAAGCTATTTTATATTCGATATTTATTCAATTTTATATACTTCAGCCCCTTGGTGTTAGACTTTTAACCCTTATTATAGTAAGACTTGTTTAAAACTTATTTAAGATTTTAGATTCCTATATGTTGAATGTATGCACCATCCTGCCAAAGTAAATTCCGTGTCGGTGCGAACTTTCATGGCGAATAAAACCCTTTCTGATTCTGATTCAACCACCATTTCCTGAAGACCAAACATGACTAACTCGTCTACAGTTATATTCTTAGTTTTTTCGGTAAAGTCACAAAAGTCACAAAATTCGTCTACAGTTGTTTCTTTATGTCACTGCTGCCTGTTTGGTTCATCATGTAGAATTTTACAAATGATATTGTACCGCTCCGCCACATAAAGGACCCTGATTGGTTCTTACCTGGTTTAAAAAGGAAGGCATACACGAAACATTATGGTTGCCATAAACGATGATAAACGTTCTCTACGTAGTGTTCACTGTAGTTTTCTGATGCATTTTCTGGTTGTACCGCGCATTGTTTAAACTATATTAAACTATTTCTTGTTTCATCAGGTAAGGCCCACGAAGCTATATAGCTCTTTTTCTGAAGTGACCTGGCCACAAATGATAGCTTAACAAAGTGGCTTATCACGTGGAAATGTATAGCAGCCAAGTACTCTAAACGCACATTTCTAAATGCGGAGGGCAAAACCGGAGGACCCGGAGAAAAATCCACGCGACCACAGGGAGAGAGACACTCCAACTCCAAATATACAGGCATCAGGGTCAGGATCGAACCCACGACTTCATGCATACCAGGCGAAGTAGTCAACATCTCGCCACCGTGGCGCCATGTCCAACGTAGCTCCCGGCACGCAGAGTGAAACGTCTGAAACGTCGGAAACGACGCTGAGCCACACGCGGCACCACCCGTGCTCGCATGGGGGAGCTACACAGAAAACCCCGGACACTCCACGCAGTGGTATTCCATTGCGCGTTCACGGCGAGGGTGTTTACCCCGAGCGGTCGGGGCAGGACTCCGTGACGTAAACGTGGAAGCGCTTCTTGGAGGCGGCGGCCTCGGCCAGGACGCGCAGGACAACCCGCGAGCTGGAGTGGGTCAGGATCGTCTACGAAGCAGAGCATGACAGAAAACACAGAGATGTGTCTGCCTACTTCCAGCACGCGGCACATGAGACATCGGCAAAAACGTGTTTGGGGATTTCAAATACGATGTGGTTTTATTCGGCATTAAAACACGACGATGCATCCAGACGCTACTCAATGATGACACAGTTATACAACATGCACACTATCGTTACACGTTGTGTATTGTCAATAAAATACAAGTGGTCATATACAGTGAGGGAAAAAAGTATTGATCCCCTGCTGATTTTGTACGTTTGCCCACTGACGAAGAAATGATCAGTCTATAATTTTAATGGTAGGTTTATTCGAACAGTGAGAGACAGAATAACAACAAAAAAATCCAGAAAAACGCATGTAAAAAATGTTATAAATTGATATGCATTTGCAAATAATCGCACCAACTGTTGTCACCTTCTCACCAAGCTGCTTGGCAATGGTCTTGTAGCCCATTCCAGCCTTGTGTAGGTCTACAATCTTGTCCCTGACATCCTTGGAGAGCTCTTTGGTCTTGGCTATGGTGGAGAGTTTGGAATCTGATTGATTGATTGCTTCTGTGGACAGGTGTCTTTTATACAGGTAACAAGCTGAGATTAGGAACACTCCCTTTAAGAGTGTGCTCCTAATCTCAGCTCGTTACCTGTATAAAAGACACCTGGGAGCCAGAAATCTTTCTGATTGAGAGGGGGTCAAATACTTATTTCCCTCATTAAAATGCAAAACAATTTATAACATTTTTGACATGCGTTTTTCTGGATTTTGTTGTTGTTATTCTGTCTCTTACTGTTCAAATAAACCTACCATTAAAATTATAGACTGATCATTTCTTTGTCAGTGGGCAAACGTACAAAATCAGCAGGGGATCAAATACTTTTTTCCCTCACTGTAGATATTGGTCCTCGTTAAACTCAAAAACATAATACGTAACACAAAATAACTTGAATAAGTATGTCCAGCAGAGAGCTACTTGCCCATAAACATCAGGGAGTTCACGATCATTGGTTTGAGCAAGTCTGATGAGACAAGGAATGTTGAAACCAGTCCCCTACTTTTTTTTATGTGGAGAGACAAACATGCGTCTCTTTATTGATTTGGTTACTCATATGCTCCACAATGATGTGTCTCATCGTCCCAGTTTCCTGCCTTTTTCCCACGTAACTCCTCAGCCAACTCTATATGCCTCTTCCGAGGAACTTACCCACTCTACTCCTATTGGTTTATTAAAGGCATCCTGCCGTGTTCCTTACGCATGTATAGTCAGGGAGAAAAGTGTTGATGCTCAAGCAATCTAGGCACTGTGCTCTATTGGAGGCCCTGAGCACACAGTAGAACTCCAGAAATGAATGTATGCATGAACTGGGATATACCATCAGGTTTGACAGAATGTTCACATGTAAACATTTAGATATGAATACATTTTGCCTTAAAACTTTCGTGACTGCAGGAATTCATATTCGTGGTTCTTTCGGCAAAGTCACGTAGATAGGAAAAGGGAAAAGGAAAAAAAGGAAAAAATAAAAATAAAAGCAAAAAACCACGACGTTTCGATCGCAACACAAGCGGTCTTCATCAGGCAGATTTTAATTTTATTTTATTTTTATTTTCTATCTACGTGACTTTACAGAAAGAACCAAGAATATAAATTCACGTATTACAGTATGTAATTAGCATGCAGTGTTAAGGACAGTTGGACATTTCTGTAGGCAACGCGAGAGAATGAGATTACGAGCATCGCTATACCACACAATTGCACGGATCACTTACCGCGCCATCACGAATGAACGACTGCGACATTTTGGCAATCTTGTTCCTCGAGTCTGAGATTTTCGACAGAAACAATTCGCCTCTCTCGATCAGAATCTGTCGGCACTCAGCGATGGGCTGTTCACCATACGGCATTGTCGGAATAAAGACAAAAATATTAGGCACTGACGCTTGGAAAGAGTTTGACTTTTTTTTTACACAGTGATAAAGATGTCAGCTGGCTGGAACTTAAAACATTCCAATGATTCCTAATCCACAAATGGATGAAGGCCACCCCATGCCATGTCAGTCATGGGGTTTTGCTTTTTAAAGAACAGTTCAAGATCGTACTATCAAGATACATTTCTACATTGAGTTTGGCGATGGGCAGCAGTGTTTGGTGAGAGTGAAAGCAAGTTAAACACACTCTCTCACCTTTTCATCAAGCTTAGTGAGAGTGATGGTTCTCAGAAACAGTTCACAGCAAGAAGACATGGACACAGATGCATCGATGCCACTCAATAGGCGCATAATGCTCTTGAGGCTCTCCCTCAGGCCCTGCAGGGTCTCCCCTACACACACGCACAAACACACAAGACAAAGGCCCCATCTCAGTTTAACCTTTACAGCTGTTGGAACAAGTGCAGCACCTCCGATTAGCGCTGTTGGCTATGTACGGCGCGAAAGAAGTTCAACATACATACAAGAACGTTCCTAAGGCAATGATGGAAAACAAAAAGTGGTTAATCACTTATTTCAAGTGAACATGGTGTATCCGATTTGTGTTCGTCCTCCGATCCACGCGTTCCTTCGTCTCTTCGTGTAATCCCCAACATGCATCTCGCCACGTTTCCTTTTTGCACTTTTAGCTGTTGTTCAATTTCCATCGACACCGAACACACTGGACGCACATTCCCACGTGTAGCATGATGATACACGTGGGGAACACGAGAGGCTTACCGGTGTCCCGCTTGAGGAAGTGGATCAGGGTGCGGATTGCAGCCACAGCCGACGGATTGTCTGGGTCCTGCTCTATTTGACCTTTGAAAAATGCAACCACTCCTAAAACAAACAAAAAAATGTCACATCAACACATATCCAGAACAGTGTGTAACCTTCCCATCAGTGCGCATCTCTTAAGTTTATTAACATGGTGCCCTTTTTCTGATCTCATGTGCTTCATAATAGCACTAGCCTCATGCATTCCTCTTTGTCCAGTAGTATCCTGCCACTCTCTCCCTGTGTCTTCCTCAAGCCTTGCTCACAAAGTCCACAATACCTCCACGGGAGCTTACCTGGATTAAAACTGCACTGGCCAGGGAATACATTCGGCTGGCATGCAGCACTGTGCATTGCAGCAGTCAATTTGGATGTGTGCAGCCCCTTGTAGATCCGCTGCTGGATGTGGGTCTGTGCATGCTGTGTGGGTCGTGAAGGTCGTGTGACCACAATTCATTTCACTGTCCGTACAGCTTTGTAAAGGCAATCATGGGTGCAAAGAAGCCATGGACAGGACCGTGGACTTTGCTGCATTGCCCTCTGCTGGCCACCACCACCGAAAAGCATGATAATCACCAAACACGTATGACGACCAAGCACAGCATTGGCATTCCCCCTATGCCAACCCAGTCACGCAGTGTCTGGAACACACCGGGACATATCATCTTCACTTAACGTGAAATCTCATTCGGCTGTCATGTTAACTGTGAAAATGACCGTGCATTGTGATGCACACTGCTCAGCTACCTTCGTCATCCATCACTTGAGGCATTGCGATTTCAGTGCAGCACTTGCGTCAGAATTCGTTACCTAGAAAATAAAAACACGAAACAGTGGAACATTGTGTAAGTAGCGCCTTGTGTCTAGAAGTTATAACTCGGGTCAAAATCCCAAGCTGGGAAGCGTCACATTTGACATTTGGCGTTGAGGTGCAACCAGTGGTAGAATTCTCGTCTCCTATGCCAACGTTTCCTCAGCGGGTGGTCTCCACTTCTGCTCGTCTGCCCGTGCAATTAAAGAGCAGCATCTTCACACGTGGCATGAGAGCAGTGCGAACTCCACGGCCAAGTATTCTCCATCACACGAGGTAAACATTTAGCCCAGCGCCCCAAGGGGCCCCTGACGTGCAGCTCCCGACAAGACACAGCAGACGTGATGACACCTCCCATCACCATCATCGTGCCGCTGTCAAACCCAAATTGTTTCAAATGTGTGGCGGAACCCTCACACTGATGATGTCTTATCGACCAAAGTGGCTCCTCCTATGAACATTAGTGAAGAACACTGAATTTCGATTTAAAGCTTTCGTGACTGCAAGGATTCATCTTCTTTGGTTGTTTCGGTAAAGTCACGTAGAATGAGGTGAAAGGATGTTCCTTTCACCTGAAGGCCACTTGTGTTGTGGCCGAAACGTCGTGAGAATTTTATTGTGCTATTTTATTTATTATTTTATTCTCATTCTACGTGACTTTACCGAAACAACCAAAGAAGATGAAGAACACTGCTTGAGACTGTTGAAGTCTAGACTTTTCACGCGTTCAACTGAACCCACTGGTACCGTGGGTATATTACGTGCTGTGGTAACCATCAAATAATGCTTCGCAGTGTCCGTAAAGATGCCATGACATAAATGGACACACGAGTTGGCAGGCCATCCACCGCGTGCCGGAGCCACGCTCCACATTCACCAAATGCACGACAGTTGTGGCAGGACGGATCCTCCTCCTGCGGGAGACGATTTAGTCTCGGCGAGGCTTTCTGGCTAAACAAGCGAAATAATAATATCACGATGATGACGATGATAACAATGGTGACATGTACAGATTGTCAACAACGGTGATTACAACATGCTGATCGTGAATGGCGAGGCGTGAGACCCAGCGGGCCAGACTCTCACGCCGAGTACGTGAGGTCAGAGAGAGTACGTGAGGTGAGAGGGAGTACGTGAGGTGAGAGAGTACGTGAAGTGAGAGAGTACATGAGGTGAGAGAGAGTACGTGAGGTGAGAGGGTACGTGAGGTGAGAGAGTACGTGAGGTGAGAGAGAGTACGTGAGGTGAGAGAGAGTACGTGAGGTGAGAGGGTACGTGAGGTGAGAGGGTACGTGAGGTGAGAGAGAGTACGTGAGGTGAGAGGGTACGTGAGGTGAGAGAGTACGTGAGGTGAGAGGGTACGTGAGGTGAGAGAGAGTACGTGAGGTGAGAGGGAGTACGTGAGGTGAGAGAGTACGTGAGGTGAGAGAGTACGTGAGGTGAGAGAGAGTACGTGAGGTGAGAGGGTACGTGAGGTGAGAGAGAGTACGTGAGGTGAGAGAGTACGTGAGGTGAGAGAGTACGTGAAGTGAGAGAGTACGTGAGGTGAGAGAGAGTACGTGAGGTGAGAGGGTACGTGAGGTGAGAGAGAGTACGTGAGGTGAGAGGGAGTACGTGAGGTGAGAGAGTACGTGAAGTGAGAGAGTACATGAGGTGAGAGAGAGTACGTGAGGTGAGAGGGTACGTGAGGTGAGAGAGTACGTGAGGTGAGAGAGAGTACGTGAGGTGAGAGAGAGTACGTGAGGTGAGAGGGTACGTGAGGTGAGAGGGTACGTGAGGTGAGAGGGTACGTGAGGTGAGAGGGTACGTGAGGTGAGAGAGAGTACGTGAGGTGAGAGGGTACGTGAGGTGAGAGAGAGTACGTGAGGTGAGAGAGTACGTGAGGTGAGAGGGTACGTGAGGTGAGAGAGAGTACGTGAGGTGAGAGGGTACGTGAGGTGAGAGGGTACGTGAGGTGAGAGAGAGTACGTGAGGTGAGAGGGTACGTGAGGTGAGAGAGAGTACGTGAGGTGAGAGGGTACGTGAGGTGAGAGAGAGTACGTGAGGTGAGAGAGTACGTGAGGTGAGAGGGTACGTGAGGTGAGAGAGAGTACGTGAGGTGAGAGGGTACGTGAGGTGAGAGGGTACGTGAGGTGAGAGAGAGTACGTGAGGTGAGAGGGTACGTGAGGTGAGAGAGTACGTGAGGTGAGAGAGGGTACGTGAGGTGAGAGAGGGTACGTGAGGTGAGAGAGTACGTGAGGTGAGGGAGAGTACGTGAGGTGAGAGAGTACGTGAGGTGAGAGGGTACGTGAGGTGAGAGAGAGTACGTGAGGTGAGAGAGTACGTGAGGTGAGAGAGGGTACGTGAGGTGAGAGAGTACGTGAGGTGAGAGAGTACGTGAGGTGAGAGAGGGTACGTGAGGTGAGAGAGAGTACGTGAGGTGAGAGGGTACGTGAGGTGAGAGAGAGTACGTGAGGTGAGAGAGTACGTGAGGTGAGAGAGTACGTGAGGTGAGAGAGAGTACGTGAGGTGAGAGAGTACGTGAGGTGAGAGTACGTGAGGAGAGAGAGTACGTGAGGTGAGAGAGTACGTGAGGTGAGAGGGTACGTGAGGTGAGAGAGAGTACGTGAGGTGAGAGAGTACGTGAGGTGAAAGAGAGTACGTGAGGTGAGAGAGAGTACGTGAGGTGAGAGAGTACGTGAGGTGAGAGTACGTGAGGAGAGAGAGTACGTGAGGTGAGAGAGTACGTGAGGTGAGGGTACGTGAGGTGAAAGAGAGTACGTGAGGAGAGAGAGTACGTGAGGTGAGAGAGTATGTGAGGTGAGGGTACGTGAGGTGAGGGTACGTGAGGTGAGGGTACGTGAGGTGAGGGTACGTGAGGTGAAAGAGAGTACGTGAGGTGAGAGTACGTGAGGTGAGAGAGAGTACGTGAGGTGAGAGTACGTGAGGTGAGAGTGCGTGAGGTGAGAGAGTAAGTGAGGTGAGAGGGTACGTGAGGTGAGACAGTACGTGAGGTGAGAGAGTAAGTGAGGTGAGAGGGTACGTGAGGTGAGAGAGTACGTGAGGTGAGGGTACGTGAGGTGAGAGAGAGTACGTGAGGTGAGAGAGTACGTGAGGTGAGCGGCTGCTGTTGGTGAGGAACACGTGGAGCCGTGCCGAGGCCTTTATGAGAATACGAACAGCAGTCACACCACTTTACACATCACCACCACCACACACACGTGACCCCGTCACTCATTACTATCACGTTACTCTGTCACACACACGCGCGTTAGAATAGCAATAGACACACACGAGCTTTACCCTGCTAACCAGCTCCGTTATACCGTGCAAGTCGATGGTGGGCGGGAAGACCCTATACCCCATTTACGACCGAGTCCAATAGGACAGTATGGTAGAGGGGTATAGGGACTTCTCGCCCGTCACATCCACTCCGCTAGGGTATTGACGAGCACGACTCTCATCAGCGGCATCGCGTCGCCGGCACACTACAGCCACGTTGTGCGTGTGTTGGTGGTAGTGTTGGTGGTGGTGGTGTTGGTAGTGTTGGTGGTGTTGGTGGTAGTGTTGGTGGTGATGGTGTTGGTGGTGATGGTGTTGGTGGTGGTGTTGATGGTGTTGGTGGTAGTGTTGGTGGTAGTGTAGGTGTTGGTGTTGTTGGTGGTGGTGTTGGTGGTAGTGTAGGTGGTGGTGTTGGTGGTAGTGGTGGTGTTGGTGGTGGTGTAGGTGGTGTTGATGGTGGTGGTGTTGGTGGTAGTGTAGGTGGTGTTGATGGTGGTGTTGGTGGTAGTGTAGGTGGTGTTGATGGTGGTGTTGGTGGTAGTGTAGGTGGTGTTGATGGTGGTGTTGATGGTGGTGTTGGTGGTGTTGATGGTGGTGTTGGTGGTGGTGTTGGTGGTAGTGTAGGTGGTGGTGTTGGTGGTAGTGTAGGTGGTATTGGTGGTGGTGTTGTTGGTGGTGGTGTTGGTGGTAGTGTAGGTAGTGTTGGTGGTAGTGTAGGTGGTGTTGATGGTGGTGGTGTTGATGGTGGTGGTGTTGGTGGTGGTGTTGGTGGTAGTGTAGGTGGTGTTGATGGTGGTGGTGTTGGTGGTAGTGTAGGTGGTGTTGTTGGTGGTGTTGGTGGTAGTGTTGGTAGTGGTGTTGATGATGATGTTGGTGATGGTGGTGGTTCGTCTTCAACGCGCAAGCTCCGCCACTCACTCCACACTGAGCGCGGCCATGCCGCACTTACCCACGCGCGCCGCCCGTCGTGTCAGATCGGAAGTTTTAAATTGTAAAAAAACCTCCAGATCTAGAGGCAAAACCTCTGTATTCTGAGCAAAGATTTGATGATAGATCCCGTGGCCGGATTAGAAGACGCTCCGGTAAGAGGGACCAATGTAGTTTACGGTCACACACAGCTCGCGTTATAAGAGGCGCCCCGAACTTTTTCAGTAAAATAACGGAGGGAAGTTTGTCTTGTAAATCCGTAGAATGTGGTCATAAACGCCACAGTTGTGCTTGCCTTCTTTCCAGACGTGGAGAATATAACGAGAACACCAAGTATAGACCTCTACATGTAGAGTTTAGGTCCGCTGTGTCACCATCACCTGGACGAGTGGCTGCCCAAAGCTCCCCCGATGACAGCTGTTCTCAACTCTCCCAATGCTAAATCATACAGCCCTGTCGGAGAGGGTTAAACCTGGTGTTAGTTTTAATGCTTTGATACTGGCAACAACAGCAACAAGGTTTAATAGATAAAGTAACTTGGTTGTGGTGAAAAACGATATCGTGAAACCTTCATGTGTACAGTAGCACCACTACTGTACCGCTCAGTCAACGATCCGTGGATCGGAAACGTGCGGGGATTCGCATCGATTCTTCGAGTCGTAGTCACGAGAATCGATTATCGGAGAATCGGAATCGCCGTTTCATTGAAGCGCGGCAGAGCACGTGGCTAGCAGCGTCCGGCGGCTCCCCCGGCTCCCCCGGCTCCTCCCGGCTCCACCGGCTCCTCCCGGCTCCTCCGGCTCCCTCCCGGCTCCACCGGCTCCCCCCGGCTCCCTCCCGGCTCCTCCCGGCCTCTCTGCCCTCGCCGCCGTCACCTCGCCATGGACCCCATGAAGGCGCAGCAGCTGGCGGCAGAGCTCGAGGTGGAGATGATGGCGGACATGTACAACAGGCGAGTGGCGGCGGTATCGTCGGGACGCGGGAGTCGGCAGCAGCAGCAGGAGGAGCTGGGGCCTCCCGTGGCCCTGAAGGTTACGGCGGCCCCGTGGCCTCGCGTCATCGACAGGGGTCTGGCGCGGCCCAGGCGGTGGTTCGCTCGGCATCCCTTGCCCTGCACTGTGTTTAGACAATCATAGTGCGCATCTTCTTTGGTTCTTTCGGTAAAGTCACGTAGAATCAGAATAAAATAATAAATTGATAAAATAAAATAACACAATAATATTCTCACGACGTTTCGGCCACAACACAAGCGGCCTTCATCAGGTGAAGGGGACGAGACTGTCTGGAGGACAGCGCTGGAGTGCACTGTGTTTAGACAATCACCCGTGTGCAGTGGCGCTGTGGATTTGTGTTCTTTCGTTTGGCATGTAAGCAACAGTTTGTGTAGATATCATAGTTGAAGGTCCTTTAAGCAACCCAAGGCGACAGTAGATGCCGGAGAGTAGTGAGGGGGATGACGTTGGCTTGGGGAGACCTTAGTCCAGCAGTGGATTGACCATGGCTGGTGATGAATACATGTACATGGTTGTCACCGCATAGAGTACTGACTCACAATGGTCAACCCTTGCTTCATTATCATCATGAGTGTGAACGTATATCGTGAGCCCGACTCGCATTGGCGAATGTCGTATGACCTTCACGAGTTGAGGGCTCGCGCCATTCGCGCTGTGCCCCCCCATGCGGTGGCGAGTTCAACCGGTTCACATCTCCGCGGGGTGGCTCCCTGCTGTTACCCAGCACTGTTGGAGAGAGCCACAGCAGCAGCGAGGGTTGGTGGATCACCGCGCACAAGTTGTGGAACTCCGTTCACGCCGAGGAGGTGCCATACCCTGGCTCGCCACGAGAAGGCCGTAGAGCGAGTGGTGGACCGATAGCCGTATTCTTGGTTCTTTCGGTAAAGTCACGTTGAAGGGAAACAATAAAATAATCAAATATATATAAAACAATGAAATTCTCACGACGTTTCGACTGCAACAGGTGAATGCGGTCCGAGCTGTTGGTTTTCACACCTGATGATGACTGCTTGTGTTGCAGTCGAAACGTCGTGAGAATTTCATTGTTTAATATTTTTTTTATTATTTCATTGTTTCCCTTCAACGTGACTTTACCGAAAGAACCAAGAATATGAATCACTGCAGTCACGAAAGCTTTAAATCAAAATTTGATAGCCGTCTGTGTATTCCATCTGTACGGGGATATAGTGTTTCCCCCTCGCGCGCGAGTGGGTTTTCTCCGGGTGCTCCGGTTTCTTCCCACGTACAATAAACACTCGCCGCTAAGTGGCTGAAAATAGCTTAAAATAAAAAAACGCAGGACCCTCCTGAAAGAGCCCTGCGACTGGGTATCGTTCTCCTGGGTAAACAACTAAACTTGCCGGCAAGTCAACGGTGCTACTTGTATTATATCATGGTACACTGTGTTTCGTCGTACAAGTGACACTCGTGGGAAGGTAACAGTGGTGAAATAGAACAAACGTCCCGTCTCATTAAATAAAATCACGTTTTAATCCATCGACCTGTATTGCTGCTGAATCTGTGTTATCCAGAGAAGCATTTGTTGAAGGAGTAAAACCCCTGGGCAGATCCTGACTTAAGGATGGGGCTCGTACAAAATCGCGGCACACCTGGGACCTAGCCACAGCAGCACGCCATCAGTGTGCGACGCACTGCTCTTGTGGATTCCCTTCAGCCAGCAGTGGCATGAAACTAAAAACTTTACTATTTATATTTTACCAGGTAGGGGCCCACTGAGCTATGTAGCTCTTTTTCAGAAGCGACCTGGCCACAAATGATAGCTCAACGAAGTGGCTTATCAGCATGTGGACATTTACAGCAGCAGCAGCCAAATACCCTAAATGCAAGTTTCCAAATTAGAGGGAAAAACTGGAGGATCTGGAGAAGAATCCACACGACCACGGGGAGAGAGAAACACGCAAACTCCAAATAAACAGCAGCAGGCATCAGGGTTGGGACTTAATCCACGACCTCCTGTATTGTGGGCGAGGTAATTACAGCTCCTAGCCACCTTGGCGTGAGATGATAATTGCAGGGCGGCACCATCGCCCGTTGAATCCTGCACGACGGCTGCGTGCGTGTGCGATGCGTGTCGCACAGAATTTACAAAAGCGTCATCCGGAGGTCCCTTCGCTGTGGCACTGACGGTGGCGCGCGTCGCTTGTGCCCGCAGGATGACGAACGCCTGCCACCGCAAGTGCGTGCCACCGCACTACAAGGAGGTGGACCTCTCCAAGGGCGAGGCCGTGTGCCTGGACCGCTGCGTCGCCAAGTACCTGGACGTGCACGAGCGGCTGGGCAAGAAGCTCACGGAACTCTCCATGCAGGACGAGGAGACCATGAAGCGCTTGCAGCAGGCTCCCTGATCCGCGCCGCACGCATCGGGGATCCCCCCACTCCCTCCCCCGCATTAAAATCTGTACATACCTAAAACGCTTATAGGTTTGTGATTGAATGGTTGAGATCGTCTTGAATAGCGTTGCTCTTAACCCAGTGTCGACGTCTCGATGCCTTAACACGTAAAAGGAGCCATTTGTCCCCGTGAGAGGATTGACATTGTTACACAGACAGACGGTGCAGGTCGTTGATGTCCCCTCTTCACTGTGACGATGCCAGAGATGGGAACTGAATTGCTGAAAACCTCCTATGCACATAGCCTAAAGGTGAAGATTGCTCGTAATTGTTGCTCTGTAATATCCACAGTTCATTGATTTTATAACGAGGAATTCGTTTTCTTTGATTAAAAGTCATTCTTAGACTCATGTTAATTGTGCATATAAGAATTTACTATTTATGATTTTTCTCTCCACTAGATTCATACTATAGATTTCCATAGTATTATCTGCGGTGCATCGCAACATCGGAGCAATTGGGCAGTTAGAGAAGTATGTTACGTTTACACGACTTCCATTCGTTGTACCGCCGTTGAACGTTCCCATTATTTTCAGAAACATTTTTTAATACATTACTTAAAAACATGAGCACATCCCCCCTTGCACCGAGCAGATGTCCAGCTATCCGATAACGTGGTGAATTGCATGGAAGAATCGATTTTGTAATTCAACATCCTTGGTGATGTGGCGAGTGGATTTGCCGACGTGTTCATTTGCACGTGATGATGTGGTGTTCCCAAACAGGAAGTAGTACATGTGCATATACCTGTAAGCGGGTTTTTTTAATCGTATGCGGGAGATCTCACGCGGCTGATGGTGCTTTTCCGGTTCACGCTTCCCGCGGGAGGAACGAGGCAAGGGAGGTTTGCGATGTTACAATCGCGTTAACCAAAGTCGTCGCTCGCGACAGGAGATGGCGTACGTACATCGTCGACATGTTAAGATGAGAAATTCCTCCGTCCCGTGATGCCATTCACTGCAGCGGGGTGTTATTGTTGTTCGCACCGACTGGTGATCATCAGCGATATTTATACTCGGTGTAGCTGTGGCTGCCTTGCAGTGTGCTCAACTCTCGCGGCGCCGTGCAAGATGTGGGAGGGATGGCAAAGTCGCCGATTAAAACTGAATTTTGGGCTCACGATAACTGCATGTGAGAATGTGTTATTCACTGTTCGTGTGTGTAAGTGCATGCTACTGTAGAGGGTTGGGGCATCAATAAGAGAAACATTAAATTATTCAAGGAACCTTGCACACAGAAAATCGTGGCGAGAGAGTGACTCATTATAACCTTGGTATGCAGTTAAGGTTTTTAAAAATGCATCTAAGCACCTCCACAGATAACTTGTATATTTGTTCTCTCTGAATGTGTCGAGTATGTGGGGGAATTGTTACTGTCACAATGTCGACCTAAATATAATTCTCTCTTTAATTTGCATGCCATTTTTAATTCTGCACATGAAGTGACCTTAACACCAATGTCCAGTGCGATTTACAGTCACAACGGCAGTGCATCAGCCCTGTTGCTCTCTACCCTAAAGGGCCATTGGCAATCATTTGGAGTTGTACATCTTCTCTGTAACAAGGCAGTATTATTTTATATCTGTATTAACTCAGAAGGTGATATTTTTGCTTGTGCACCAGTCGGCAGCGGTCCCATGAAGTATAACATTCAGAAAGGGAAACTTGTTGAACAGTAATATAGCAACACAAATAAATGCACATGATTGTGTTTATTGCAGTAAAGTGAAATATTCCCACCAGTGATCTGTTACAATGCAGTCTCATCGGCCACAAAGGAATCCCCCGCTGGATGAAGACCCCTCCCAAAGCTGTCGCCATTTTATCACAGTCGCGCGATCCACTGATCCATCCAGTAGCTGCACGCGAGCGGATTTCATAGCTGCATCGACCTGGAGGATCACGACTACCCAAACCCTTTTGACAGCCAATTTTAAATTAATATGAACTTAAAAATATTGTATACTCTTTGGTTCTATTCGGTAAAGTCACGTAGGTAAAAAAATAAAACAATACCTACGTGACTTTACCGAATAGAACCAAAGAGTATGGATCCTTGCAGTCACGAAAGCTTCAAATCTAGAATTAATAATATTTTAATTTATTAATGTATTAACATCATTACACCTCAATGGTACAATATCAATTGTTGCATGATGAAATATTAAAAAAATGCTTAAAAGATATATTTTAGTTTTTTTACCATTTTGGCAACATTCACAAACTGGATCTCAATTTATAATTTATTTTAAGGACGTGTATTTTATCATTTTTAAATATGTTCAACTAAATCAACTGACGAGTTTATTGAACGGTCAATTCATTAGATTTTTACCACATACTTCACAAATACATTTACCTGCGGTACAATACAACTAACATCAAATCGCATTAAAATTCAGCACAATAGTGAACCATTCATTTCTACACTCTTCTAAAATAGCTGGCACAATGGAAAATGTGTTTTTATCAGTATAACATGCATTACTTTTTCAAATGTTTTCGTGGCCACTTAACGAGAGCTGCTCTATCCGGCGCAGATACAAAGTGGTCTCTGCGAACTCGCCTCGTCGCTTCCACACGAGTGAGTCTGCTCCACACGAGTGAGTCTGAGTCTGCTCCACACGAGTCAGTCTGCTCCACACGAGTGAGTCTGAGTCTGCTCCACACGAGTGAGTCTGAGTCTGCTCCACACGAGTTAGTCTGAGTCTGCTCCACACGAGTTAGTCTGAGTCTGCTCCACACGAGTGAGTCTGAGTCTGCTCCACACGAGTCTAGTCTGCTCCACACGAGTCTAGTCTGCTCCACACGAGTGAGTCTGCTCCACACGAGTCTGTCTAATCCACACGAGTGAGTCTGCTCCACACGAGTGAGTCTGCTCCACACGAGTGAGTCTGAGTCTGCTCCACACGAGTGAGTCTGAGTCTGCTTCACACGAGTGAGTCTGCTCCACACGAGTGAGTCTGCTCCACACGGCTGTTGGAGCCGTGCGTGCTGCGGCGGTATTCCCTCTCCGTGGTTGACGCTCATGTTGCAAGAGTCAAATAGTCCAACCGGTCTTACCACCCTTCTCAAATGTTTATCGCAAGCGTCAGCCCTTCTCACCACGTGTCTCCACATCAATAAAACACGACTGTATTTGCCATTCAATCTGCCACACGGGCCCTGGGGCGTGCACGCTTCTGCTGTGCACACGGCCGACACAGATGTTCACGTTACGGAGGCAGTGATGGTTTTCCGCAAGTCCTCAATTCTACTCCAAAACTCTCTCATTATGGCAACCATTTAAACGTACAATATTTACTGCATTTTATGAGCATCGTAGCAACATCGAAAATATATTTAGGTATCAATAATACATAACTATAAATATGTTCAACTGGGCACCATCCCCTTGGTGCCCGTGAATGAATGCGATGTGTGGACTGCTGTACCACGTGCGACGGTGCAGGATAGGGCTGTTTGCTGCCATCTCCCATCACAAATCAGTTTCACGTCTACACCTGCAGAAATATAGATATTACATGAACGATACAATAAAACATGATATTCAGGTTTTTTTTTTAAGATCCCAATAGTTGTTTCTCTGTATTGCACCCAAAAGCATTTGGGACAGCATTCTACTGCCGATAATTGGGAGTGCACTATATGGATGGTAGAAGTTTGGAAGCTAGGACCTTGGTTGAGACGTCAATGATGTTGGCATGCTTTGGTTTTTGAGACTGAACACTGCGGCCTTTCAGGCGAGGGTTTTAGACATGGTACCTCCATAGAACCAGGGACATGTTTTAGACATGCTACCTCTATAGAACCAGGGACATGTTTTAGACATGGTACCTCTATAGAACTAGGGACATGTTTTAGACATGGTACCTCTATAGAACCAGGGACATGTTTTAGACATGGTACCTCTATAGAACCAGGGACATGTTTTAGACATGGTACCTCTATAGAACCAGGGACATGTTTTAGACATGGTACCTCTATAGAACCAGGGACATGTTTTAGACATGGTACCTCTAAAGAACCAGGGACATGTTTTAGAGATGGTACCTCTATAGAACCAGGGACATGTTTTAGACATGGTACCTCTATAGAACCAGGGACATGTTTTAAACATGGTACCTCTATAGAACCAGGGACATGTTTTAGACATGGTACCTCTATAGAACCAGGGACATGTTTTAGACATGGTACCTCTATAGAACCAGGGACATGTTTTAGACATGGTACCTCTATAGAACCAGGGACATGTTTTAGACATGCTACCTCCATAGAACCAGGGACATGTTTTAGACATGGTACCTCTATAGAACCAGGGACATGTTTTAGACATGGTACCTCCATAGAACTAGGGACATGTTTTAGACATGGTACCTCTATAGAACCAGGGACATGATTTAGACATGGTCCCTCTATAGAACTAAGGACATGTTTTAGACATGGTACCTCTATAGAACCAGGGACATGTTTTAGACATGGTACCTCTATAGAACCAGGGACATGTTTTAGACATGGTACCTCTATAGAACCAGGGACATGTTTTAGACATGGTACCTCTATAGAACCAGGGACATGTTTTAGACATGGTACCTCTATAGAACCAGGGACATTTTTTAGACTGGGTACCTCTATAGAACCAGGGACATGTTTTAGACATGGTACCTCTATAGAACCAGGGACATGTTTTAGACATGGTACCTCTATAGAACCAGGGACATGTTTTAGACATGGTACCTCTATAGAACCAGGGACATGTTTTAGACATGGTACCTCCATAGAACCAGGGACATGTTTTAGACATGGTACCTCCATAGAACTAGGGACATGTTTTAGACATGGTACCTCTATAGAACCAGGGACATGTTTTAGACATGGTACCTCTATAGAACTAGGGACATGTTTTAGACATGGTACCTCTATAGAACAAGGACATATTTTAGACATGGTACCTCTATAGAACCAGGGACATGTTTTAGACATGGTACCTCTATAGAACCAGGGACATGTTTTAGACATGGTACCTCTATAGAACCAGGGACATGTTTTAGACATGGTACCTCTATAGAACCAGGGACATGTTTTAGACATGGTACCTCTATAGAACCAGGGACATGTTTTAGACATGGTACCTCCATAGAACCAGGGAGATGTTTTAGACATGGTACCTCTATAGAACCAGGGACATGTTTTAGACATGGTACCTCTATAGAACCAGGGACATGTTTTAGACATGGTACCTCTATAGAACCAGGGACATGTTTTAGACATGGTACCTCCATAGAACCAGGGAGATGTTTTAGACATGGTACCTCTATAGAACCAGGGACATGTTTTAGACATGGTACTTCTATAGAACCAGGGACATGTTTTAGACATGGTACCTCCATAGAACCAGGGACATGTTTTAGACATGGTACCTCTATAGAACTAGGGTCATGTTTTAGACATGGTACCTCTATAGAACTGGGGACATGTTTTAGACATGGTACCTCCATAGAACCAGGGACATATTTTAGACATGGTACCTATATAGAACCAGGGACATGTTTTAGACATGGTACCTCCATAGAACCAGGGACATGTTTTAGACATGGTACCTCCATAACCAGGGACATGTTTTAGACATGGTACCTCTATAGAACTGGGGACATGTTGCATGGATGTTGAATTTCTTTCACACCGCATGTAGCCGGCCGTGCTCATCGGAGGTGCAAGTCAAGAGGGAAGCACTCGGATTTCCCGAACGATAATTTACAATCATTAAAGACATCTTAAAGGCGAATTAGGTTCATTCCACGAGTTTTGGCTGTCACTTTCCGTCCGGCCAATTCGTGAGCCCCAAGCTCTGATAATTATATACAATTAGCTGAATATTTGGCTTTAGGTCTTGCCTTTCATCAGCGTGTTGGTGCCAGTCCAATGCTTGTTTCATTACCCGAGTGTTCAGCTGCAGGATATTTTATATCTCGCTACAAGGTATGCTCTTGATGTACATAAGTTCAATTTCATTTTTTAGACACTCTTTTAAGTCGTAGTCAGCCACACTCGCCTCTTCGTACTTTCTCTCTCGGTAGAAGGGGCTCTTCTTGCTGATGTAGAGCAGAACGAGGTCGCAGAGGAAGACTCCCTGAGGTTGGAGACAAACACACAGGATGCTAGACGATGTGTTGCGTCACGCGAGACCATCCAGCAGTGGAGCGATCATGGCTGATGATGATAAAGATGATGCAATCTAAAGTTCAGCAGGTGTGCAGCAAATGTGTGGTCCACCCTAAACTGCATCCACTGCACAAACCGCGGCATATGCGGTTACTTGATGCACAAATGGAAGCTGAGAGACTCTGCAGCGTGCGACTGTGGCCACCCAGAAGAGACGGCACACAACACTCAGCCACGCGCGATGCCCGATCCACACAAGCGAAGGAGACGTCACAGAGACGTCACAGACACGTCACGGAGACGTCACAGACACGTCACAGAGACGTCACTGCACTTCTCTGGCTTGCCCACCTGCATGCGACACGTGGTGGTGGTGGTGGTGTTGTTGTTGTTGCTCTGTATCAACATCAGCTGCCGTACGTCAAGAAGAACTGCGTGTGTGTGTTAGTACTCACCACTCCTAGTGTGTGTGTTAGTACTCACCACTCCTAGTGTGTGTGTGTGTTAGTACTCACCACTCCTAGTGTGTGTGTGTTAGTACTCACCACTCCTAGTGTGTGTGTTAGTAATCACCACTCCTAGTGTGTGTGTTAGTAATCACCACTCCTAGTGTGTGTGTGTTAGTACTCACCACTCCTAGTGTGTGTGTGTTAGTACTCACCACTCCTAGTGTGTGTGTTAGTACTCACCACTCCTAGTGTGTGTGTTAGTACTCACCACTCCTAGTGTGTGTGTGTTAGTACTCACCACTCCTAGTGTGTGTGTTATTACTCACCACTCCCAGCAAAGCGAGGCCAGAGCCGACGTTGGTCATTGTGGGGACGATGTTGAATTTGCCAGCCTGGGAACGCCGTCGAAAGTTCGTGGTTATGTAAAAGAAAAAAATATATATTTGAAATTACATACGGTGTAGGCTTTTACTGATTTACAGATTACAATTATTTCTCACGCTCAAGATATTCAGATAAATTACCACCTACCAAGATAAAAAAAAAATTCTGTAAATTACGAGAAAATGCCATCTGTACAGAAGAATTGGTGCAGGCCACGAAAGAGAGACACAGCGACGCCACTTTGTGTACTCAACCACCAGTTCAGAAGAACTGCATTCGTAGTTGTCATGGAAACGTTTGGCCAACGGTGGTTTAAGGGTTCCATACACATGGCGACATTGGGTACTGCTCATGCCTTATATCACCGTCTATCAACTGAGATGACGACATTGTCATTATTCTGAACTGGTGGTTTCCTGTACTCATAGTGTGTTGTTTAAACATATTCATGACTGAACAAGTATACATTGAAATAAAACTACAATTTCTATCACATATATATGTAGCCGCATACTCCAGTCACTTTGCAATAATATGAAAACGAAGACTGATAATGCTGCATCCTGAAAATATAAACTCACAAATAAACATTTCTCTCTCTCATTTCACGTGAGCGAGCACCGCTGTCACTCACTCCTGTCCTGGCCCACCGTCTCCACGTTCACTGCACAGTCCTTCACACTCTGGTTCACATCCCGGTTCACATCCCGGTTCACACTCCGGGTTCACACTCTGGTTCACATCCCGGTTCACAATGTGATTCACACTGTGGTTCACACCCCAGTTCACACTCCGGGTTCACATCCCGGTTCACACTCTGGTTCACACTGTGGTTCACATTCTGATTCACACCCCAGTTCACATCCCGGTTCACACCCTAGTTCACACTGTGGTACACACTCTGATTCACACTGTGGTTCACACTGTGGTTCACACTCTGATTCACACCCCAGTTCACATCCCGGTTCACACCCTAGTTTACACTGTGGTACACACTGTGATTCACACTGTGGTTCACACTCTGATTCACACTGTGGTTCACACTGTGGTTCACACTGTGGTTCACACTCTGGTTCACACTCTGGTTCACACTGTGGTTCACACTGTGGTTCACACTGTGGTTCACACTCTGATTAACACTGTGGTTCACACTCTGGTTCACACTGTGGTTCACACTGTGGTTCACACTGTGGTTCACACTGTGGTTCACACTCTGATTCACACTGTGATTCACACTGTGGTTCACACTCTGGTTCACACTGTGGTTCACACTGTGGTTCACACTGTGGTTCACACTATGATTCACACTGTGATTCACACTGTGGTTCACACTGTGGTTCACACTATGATTCACACTGTGGTTCACACCCTAGTTCACACTGTGATTCACACTGTGGTTCACACTGTGGTTCACACTGTGGTTCACACTCTGATTCACACTGTGGTTCACACTGTGGTTCACACTGTGGTTCACACTCTGATTCACACCCCAGTTCACATCCGGGTTCACACCCTAGTTCACACTGTGGTTCACACTCTGATTCACACTGTGGTTCACACTCTGATTCACACTGTGGTTCACACTGTGATTCACACTGTGGTTCACACTCTGGTTCACACTCTGGTTCACACTGTGATTCACACTGTGATTCACACTCTGCTTCACACTCTGGTTCACACTCTGCTTCACACTGTGGTTCACACTGTGGTACACACTCTGGTTCACACTGTGATTCACACTGTGGTTCACACTATGATTCACACTGTGATTCACACTGTGGTTCACACTGTGGTTCACACTGTGGTTCACACTGTGATTCACACTGTGGTTCACACCCTAGTTCACACTGTGGCACACACTGTGATTCACACTGTGATTCACACTGTGGTTCACACTCTGGTTCACACTGTGATTCACACTGTGGTTCACACTCTGATTCACACTGTGGTTCACACTGTGGTTCACACTGTGGTTCACACTGTGGTTCACACTCTGAGTCACACTGTGGTTCACACTGTGGTTCACACTGTGATTCACACTGTGGTTCACACCCTAGTTCACACTGTGGTACACACTGTGATTCACACTGTGATTCACACTGTGGTTCACACTCTGGTTCACACTGTGATTCACACTGTGGTTCACACTCTGATTCACACTGTGGTTCACACTGTGGTTCACACTGTGGTTCACACTGTGGTTCACACTCTGAGTCACACTGTGGTTCACACTGTGGTTCACACTGTGGTTCACACTGTGGTTCACACTCTGATTCACACTGTGGTTCACACTGTGATTCACACTGTGGTTCACACTCTGATTCACACTCTGGTTCACACTGTGGTTCACACTCTGATTCACACTCTGGTTCACACTGTGGTTCACACTGTGGTTCACACTGTGGTTCACACTGTGATTCACACTGTGGTTCACACTCTGGTTCACACTCTGATTCACACTGTGGTTCACACTGTGGTTCACACTGTGATTCACACTGTGATTCACACTGTGGTTCACACTGTGGTTCACACTCTGATTCACACTGTGGTTCACACTCTGATTCACACTGTGGTTCACACTGTGATTCACACTGTGGTTCACACTCTGGTTCACACTGTGGTTCACACTGTGGTTCACACTGTGGTTCACACTGTGGTTCACACTCTGATTCACACTGTGGTTCACATTGTGATTCACACTCTGGTTCACACTCTGGTTCACACTGTGGTTCACACTGTGGTTCACACTCTGATTCACACTGGTTCACACTGTGGTTCACACTGTGGTTCACACTCTGATTCACACTGTGGTTCACACTCTGGTTCACACTGTGGTTCACACTCTGATTCACACTGTGGTTCACACTGTGATTCACACTGTGATTCACACTGTGATTCACACTGTGGTTCACACTGTGATTCACACTGTGGTTCACACTGTGGTTCACACCCTAGTTCACACTGTGGTACACACTGTGATTCACACTGTGATTCACACTGTGGTTCACACTGTGGTTCACACTCTGGTTCACACTGTGGTACACACTGTGGTACACACTCTGGTTCACACTGTGGTTCACACTGTGGTTCACACTGTGGTTCACACTCGGGTTCACACCCCGGTTCCCCACGTGGAGCCAACCCCAACCCCTCCGCCTGACTCTCGGTCTCTGTCACTCATGCTTCCACCTCCATCGCCATTCTTCTTCCCACGTGGCGTTCCCCTCTTCTCCCGACGCGTCCCACTCATCTCGGTCGACTCTCGCCCTCTCTCTCCACTTGTCAGGGATGGGCACCACCAACACTCTTGCCTCAGGCGTGCAAGAGTAGATTTGTGAAATAGTGCACGTGTTCACACCTGTCCTGATGCGCTGTGTAGTAGGGGAGTGTATCAGATGGTGGCGTGTGACCCAATTACCTTCCCATGCACCATGACATCAAATCGAATTCCGTAAACCTTCATTAACGTGCGATGCTCCACGCCATTGACTTGATAGTACCTTCCAAATCTGACCAGAGCAACACGTTAGCAGTTGACACAGGATAGTCACTTAATAGGTTTGATAATTGATCTGTGTATGTTTTCAAAATTAAGTTCGAACAGTTGCACTGAGATTGCTTTAAGAAAGAAACGAGATATAAATAAAAACTACATTTTAAAATATGCAAACATGGATGGAGAAAGTATTATTGGTCTCAAATGATCGGATGACACCATCATTATAATAACCAATACATATTCATTAATCGGAGGTGCGGGGGAAGGGCAACAAACTAAAAACAAAATCAGTCCTAAAGAAACGAGCTTTCAATCTAGGTGATTTAAAAGTGCATAGCTCCAGTGCGCCGCACGATGATGATGATGATGCGGTGACCACCGCCTTTGTTCGATGGGCCAGCCAGAAGTGACGCGAGACAACGTGGGACGGTGACTGGTCGGGGAGGCCTTCAGTGAGCAGCGCAGCACGCTGGCCACCACCGCCACCACCACGCCACCACCACCACCACGCCACCACCACCACACCACCACCACGCCACCACCACCACACCGCCACCACCACGCCACCACCACCACACCACCACGCCACCACCACCACCACCACCACCACGCCACCACCACCACGCCACCACCACCACCACGCCGCCCGTCACCTGAAGTTGTACCCCGTCGCCACGTCCGCCGCGTCCGTGTCGAGCCGAGAGAAGGCGTAGGTGGGCATGCACTCGCTGGGCGGGCGGTCCAGGTCGCACTGCCAGGCGATGCGCACGCCGATGACCCCGCCCTGGCACGAGAGCGCACGGCGCTTAGGCGTCCCAGCACACGACGCAGCCTCTCCCTGCGCGCGCGTCTCCTCCGAAGTGTTCCATTAGCGGCGTGGGAGCCGGTGGGCAGCGGACTGGGACGCCAGGCGATGTTCGCTCAGAGATTTTGACTTAAATCTTTCGTGACTGCAGGAATTCACATTTCTTGGTTCTTTCGTGTAAATTCACGTAGATAGAAAACTAAAATCAATTGCTTTTAATTTAGATTTTTGTTTTCTATCTACGCGACTTTACCGCAAGAACCAATAAGATGTTTTCTCAGGTTCGTGTCTCCAAGTTTTAGGCGGCGCTTGATTCATTTTGCCGGTTTTATCGAATAGCAAACACAAATGTATAATACTGTGCAGTGGAATTCATGAGAGATCGCCTAGCTTAGTGCCTCCCGTTACGCACGTACGGACGCACTCGCAGGGCTGATGCACACACGAGTCGACCACCGTGCGTTCGAAAGAGACTTCCACAAATTACGGTGCAAAAGAAGTTCCACAAATACGAAGACAACAACAACAACGACGACGACAACGACGACAACCACGACGACGACCATGACGACCACGACGACGACCACGCGCGTTCGCGTCACCGACCTTGACGGCGATGGCGTCAAACCGCGCCCCTGCGCTCCTGACCAGGTCCCCCAGGCGGAAGATTGGGCAGGCCGGGGCGCGGGCAGGGTCGTACCGGCACCGCTGCAGCCCGTCGCCACCGCCGTCGTCACCGCCACCGCCGTCGCCGTCACCGCCGCCGCCGTTCTCGAGGACGTTGTGCCTGCAAGCGCACGCGCCTCGTTTGAGTTAAAATCACGTGCAAGTAAATATTGTAACGTTGTAGCCATGGAGTCAACATTGGGGGGGACCAAATCTTACAGGGGGTCTGGGGGTCCCCCCCCACCCCGAGAATAAATAAATATTTTTTTAAAATTCATTTCCTGCCATTTCCTGCCTAAAATATTTTAATATTCACTAACACATGGGATGAACTTTTTTTTTACAATAATGTCTAGAAGTGTATATTGTATTACATTGCTCTGTTTTTTTCCTTTTTACCTTTTCTTGTTTCATTGTATGTAATGGCAGAGATTAGGGATTAATAAGCACAACCATGACCACAATCATATAAACAGAAATCTATTTTATAGCAATATATTGGGGGGGATATTTTGAGCATATTTGAATATTGGGGGCGATGTGCCCCCCCCCCCCCCATATATATTATAATTACGGCCTTGAAATATAGACAAGGTGCTTCGAAACATTTGTTTTAACACTTCCGAGAATTTGCAACAATACCACGTGACATGTGCTGCTGCTTCCGGGCTCTGGAGGCCACCTGGGGAAGCTTCCAGGCCACGCGTTGACAACGATGGCGAACAAGTGGAGACTTTGACTTTTTGAAGTTATTAACATCACATTTGTTATCATGTTACAGTGTATTATTCGTTCTATTCCCATTAAAAACGATAGTCCCGTATAAGTGTTAACATTTTTTTCACCACCCTGTATATGCTCTGCTTAGACAAAGATCCCCCGTACAGCCTTCATCAGACCGTTGGGGCAAGTGCTGTTAGCGAGCAGCACCTATGAATGCCAGAACGACACACGAGTTGGTGGGTGGCCAACACCACGCCCGGTCACCTATGTCTCCCCAGTGACGATATTTAACACACTGCACCAGGTTCTCATTTGAGGCTGAGTCGACCTAGGGGAGGCCCAGGACCGGTTCAGATAATCGTCACTGATGTTGGCCGTGAGCGGGAATCAAACTCGGGCGGCCGGGGTTGTAGTGCAGCGTAGCGCTAACCGTTTCACCACCGCTCCCCACTGCTTACTCAGTCTCAACTCTTTTTCAGGAGGCTCCTGCCGGGCGATGCAGCTACTGCTGTACAATCCAATTGAGTCAGTTGCTGGTCATGTTTCAACATTGGGATATTTGGACAATACCAGTGAGAGTGTGGAGTTTTGCTGTCATTGTTTCAGCTGTGGGAGGAAACTGGAGAAATCAGGGACACTCAGAACAGGGGGAGAACATTCAAACTCCATGTACCGCGGTGGCTAGGAGATGTTAACTACCTCGCCAGGTATACAGGAGGTTGATCCCGACCTTTACGCCTCTATATTTGGAGTTTGCATGTCCTCTCTGTAGTCGTGTGGATCTCTCTCAGGGTTTTCCGGTTTTTCCCTTCACATTTAGACTCAACATCACGCGTTCAGAGCGTTTGGCTGCGACACGTGATGATGACAAGCCAATTCGTTGAGCTATCATTTGTGGCCAGGTCGTTTCTGGAAAAGAGCTACATAGCTCAGTGGGCATTACCTGGTAAAATATAAATAGTTTAGTTTCAAAAAGGTGTCAGAACAGAACCCAGACCTTTCGTGCTGTGAGACACGAGCGTTTGCGCTGAGCCAGCCTGCTGTCCGACAAAGTCGCGCTCCTTACTTGCGGAATGAAAACTTGGGAAAGTGGATGCTGTTCTTGATGAAGACTGTGAAGTTTTCAGCTCCAGCCAAGATGGGATGCCTGCACACGTACGCGTGGGTAGGCGTGTTCTACACACATACCGTGTCTGCATACTCAAACAATCGTGGAGCCAGTCAATGCTAACTCGTTCATGATGAGATTCCTACTGATGACAGTCGATCGGCAGGCAGCGTGGAGTGGGGTGTGGATACTACCGCCTCTTGCAAGACGTCTGTCGAGGCAGCGTGGAAGCGTAGGCCAACTTCTGCGTAGTGGGGGCTCTATAGAGCCCCAACTTCTGCGTAGTGGGGGCTCTATAGAGATCCAACTACTGCGTAGTGGGGGCTCTATAGAGCCCCAACTTCTGCGTAGTGGGGGCTCTATAGAGCCCCAACTACTGCGTAACGAGGGATTTCTATCAAATCATTGGGGGGCACGTGCCACCACCCCCCCCCCCTTCCCCAGTAACTGACACCCTTAGGAGGCCGCGCGTTCGCGAGGAGGATCACCGCGCCCGTCACCTGGGGGTGCTGCCGCTCTCCACGGGGCACCAGGCGCGCACCTCGCAGCTCCGCCTCGTCTCGTCGCACGCCACGCAGCGTCCCGTGCGCACTCCTAGCACGGCGGGGGGCGGGCGACGGCGTCCCCCAGGGGAGGCAGGGGGAGAGGGGAGAGGGGACATTGGGAACGTTCACACTGCACTAGGTATAAACTCCAAGGGCGCGATGGCAAATGCTCAATTCCGATCCGGTGGTCTATTCACATGCACAGTTTGCCAGCATTAAGTAAAAACATTTTTTTTATTATAATTATCAACACAACAAAGATCAGAGTGATTTCCCTCACACTACACTCTTTGATTCTTTCGGTAAAGTCACGTAGATAGAAAATTAATAGATCACGACGTTTCTATCGCAACACAAGCAACTGTCATCAGGTGAAACAAACACAGCAGGAGAACTGCTGACGTAGGAGCGAGTTCAAAACGCTTGTCCTTGCTGATGTTGCTCACGGATTTCTTCGCGTTTTTGAAGATAGCAGCGATTTTAGATCCTGCTACGTCTGCCGGGATGTGTCCCAAGCCTTTGAGGGCTACGTCGACCCGGGCGATGATATCATCCACTGGGATGTGTTTAGGGGTGACTGCGAAATTCAACACTTAGCTAGAACCGATTTTAGGCTGTCGGAAATTGCACTGTTACTCTGACTGATGACAATCTTGTTAACATGTTACTATGATTGATGGCAATCTTGTTAACATGTTACTATGATTGATGACAATCTTGTTAACGTGTTACTATGATTGATGACAATCTTGTTAACATGTTACTATGATTGATGACAATCTTGTTAACGTGTTACTATGATTGATGACAATCTTGTTAACGTGTTACTATGATTGATGACAATCTGGTTAACATGTTACTATGATTGACGACAATCTTGTTAACGTGTTACTATGATTGATGACAATCTTGTTAACATGTTACTATGATTGATGGCAATCTTGTTAACATGTTACTATGATTGATGACAATCTTGTTAACATGTTACTATGATTGATGACAATCTTGTTAACGTGTTAATATGATTGATGACAATCCTGTTAACGTGTTACTATGATTGATGACAATCTTGTCAACGTGTTACTATGATTGATGACAATCTTGTTAACATGTTACTATGATTGATGACAATCTTGTTTACATGTTACTATGATTGATGACAATCTTGTTAACATGTTACTATGATTGATAACAATCTTGTTAACATGTTACTATGATTGATGACAATCTTGTTAACGTGTTATTATGATTGATGACAATCCTGTTAACGTGTTACTATGATTGATGACAATCTTGTTAACGTGTTACTATGATTGATGACAATCCTGTTAACGTGTTACTATGATTGATGACAATCTTGTTAACATGTTACTATGATTGATGACAATCTTGTTAACATGTTACTATGATTGATGACGATCTGGTTAACGTGTTACTATGATTGATGACAATCTTGTTAACGTGTTACTATGATTGATGACAATCTTGTTAACATGTTACTATGATTGATGACAATCTTGTTAACGTGTTACTATGATTGATGACAATCTTGTTAACGTGTTAATATGATTGATAACAATCTTGTTAACATGTTACTATGATTGATGACAATCTTGTTAACATGTTACTATGATTGATAACAATCGTGTTAACATGTTACTATGATTGATGACAATCTTGTTAGCATGTTACTATGATTGATGACAATCTTGTTTACATGTTACTATGATTGATGACAATCTTATTAACATGTTACTATGATTGATGAAAATCTAGTTAACATGTTACTATGATTGATAACAATCTTGTTAACATGTTACTATGATTGATAACAATCTTGTTAACATGTTACTATGATTGATGACAATCTTGTTAACATGTTACTATGATTGATGACAATATTGTTAACATGTTACTATGATTGATGAAAATCTTGTTAACATGTTACTATGATTGATGAAAATCTTGTTAACATGTTACTATGATTGATGAAAATCTTGTTAACATGTTACTATGATTGATAACAATCTTGTTAACATGTTACTATGATTGATGACAATCTTGTTAACATGTTACTATGATTCTTTGGTTCTTTCGGTAAAGTCACGTAGAATGAGAATAAAATAATAAATTCATAAAATAAAATAACACAATAAAATTATCACGACGTTTCGGCCACAACACAAGCGGCCTTCATCAGGTGAACGGACGAGACTGTCTGGAGGACAGCGCTGGAGCGAACACAGCCAAGCTCAGATCGCGACCTTTAAGCTGTGTGAGAAGAAACAGAGCGCCTTGACAAAGGAATTAGCCTAGAATTTATCATTGAAATAGCTGAGTGATTAACTTGTGACTGGTCACAGAAATGGCTATGTTAAAGTCAAAGCATACACATCCACAGAGGCACCCCTTGACAAAAGAATTAGCATAGAATTTAGCATTGAAATAGCTGAGTGTTTAGCTTGTGACTGGTCACAGAAATAGCTATGTTAAAGTCAAACCATACACATCCACAGAATAAATGTACTCAATATATTCTTCAATAAGTTGAGCTATTAACAGTAATTGGGTATACACTACACTATATAATGAATACTACATAGTAAACCAATAAAAAAACCTAAAATATAAATTACCTCAATGTTATCAATAAACTCTATATATTCTCCAATCAGCTAAGCTACCAACAATAAGTCGTTATATATCACAATGCTATATGGCGAAAAAATGGGTTGATTCTTACCCTCAACTTTAGCACCACGGATAGCTACTATGATTGATAACAATCTTATTCACACCGAACTTTTTAATGTGTGGCTCTGGCTTCTTTGTCGACAGGAAGTTGTATTTAGCGATCAGATTAACTTTACATTTGGCTGACATTGAAGCGGCAGAATAAACTACCATGTCATCTACATGGTCCCAATCAGATGTGGACATTGTTTCTGTCTATGTTAAGTGAGATTGTAAGAGAGTCTTGTCTAAATGATCCAGTTCAAATCGGAGCAGTCTTATTCTCTCTGAGATCAGGGCTAGACCAACCCTGAACAAGACCCGTTCAATAGTTCACTGAAGCGGCGCTCATCTCTTGTTTACAGCCCTGAGACAGTGATTACAATCTCACAATCTCATGGCAGGGTCCAGTCCGTCCATATGACGACATTGGCTTCCTCACGAAGCGGTACCTTGTTGTTATTACTCCTGGAGGGGGGAGGATGGGCCGAGTCAATCCCCCACCAGGGTGTGAGGGATATCTACAACTCTCGTACCGTTGCCAGTAGCGATCGGTTCCCCAGAAGGGCAGTCGCTGGCATTGGAGCAATGCGCTCCAGGAATGTCAGGATTCTACACTCACGCAAAGACAAAGAACCCCCGTGTAGCCTCAACAGACTGTTGTGGCAAGTGCTGTGAGCGAGCACCTATGAAGGCCTGCACGGCACACGAGGGGGTAGGTGGCCAGCACCACGCCCGGACGCCTTTGTCTCCCCGGTGGCGATGATTACACAACGCACCAGGTAGTCATTTCAGGCTGAGTCGACCAAGCGGAGGCCCAGGACCGGTTCAGATAATCGGCACCGGTGTTGGTGGCCGTGAGCAAAAATCCCACGGGCTCGTAACAGACTTTGCTAAACAGGACACGGCCGTTCCCCGCAGAAGCACACACACACACATATATAATACATACGTACGTGATTCATTCTAATACTCTCATTCCACGTATTGTTTATATTTGTGGAAATGTATTTGACTGTATAATGAACTGAGAGACAAAATGGCCCTTGTACGTGCGATCACAAATTGCATTGATCGTTAACACTCATCCCGTATTACAGTCGAGTGGGATCGGTGCAGCACGTGGTGAATCACGCGTTTTTTTTTATTTTGTCTTTCCCATTCTTCAAACGTTTTGAAACACAGTGCGGGATCTGGCGGCCACAGCACCCCGGAGGGGTCAGAGGTCAGGCGACAGCACTCAGCGTCGCACAATCAGCCCCAGCTCGACCTGGTCACCTGACACCGCTACAGAGCAAACAACCCCAAGCACAACGGGAGCTGTATGTACAGCGATAATTACGTCTCGCCTTTATTTGCTCGTCTCTCTACATGTTTGATTTAAAAAATAAATAAGTGTTACCATAGTGACACCTCCGATTTCCACGGTTGGCTATGTACGGTGCGAAAGAAGTCCAACATAAATACGTAGTAACTCGTACAACTATTACCTGGACATATTCATCAGATTACACTGCGACCTCAACAAGAAATATACATACTAGGCGACGTTTCAGGCAATGGTCCTTCTGCACAGCACATAGAGGCCAGAGAGGTAGAGGGGTCTGATAAAACTTTAATTATAAAAAAAAATGACTGTACTGTACGGAGATCATTATCTTATTTTAATGGACACATTCACAAGTCTCCCTTCTGCGGGGCCTGTCTTATATAAAGAGAAGACGCTGAGTATTAGCGGCCTCTCAGCTAGTTATAATCCTTAACCAAACGACGGATAATTATTAGTTCCAGAAACGTGTGTGTTTTGAAGTGAAAATGAAATTACAGTGTCACCGCGCGAGGTCTGTGCATGGTGCACGTCCACTGGGCCCTGTGATGGTGGCGTGCGGGTTACCTCGGGACAGACGCCTTGCCACTGGCCTGGGGTTGCAATCATGTTCGTGACAACAAAGAACACATTTTCTCCCTAAGACACAAAGCGCACGCAGTTAATCACTTGGGTGCAGTTAAACATACACGCCCCATCCCCATCCACACACAAATCACACTTCCTGTAGTCCATGGATTACAGAACATCAGTGGCCGTGGCCTGGTCGTCCAGTCAATACTCTCTGTCAACATTGCATTTCTCATGCAACTTTTGTTTTAATGTGAGAATAGCCGCTTATTAGTATGGTGCATATTTGATTCAGATATGTTTCCACTACAGTTATGAATCGGCACTTGAGCATTGGATGAGAACACCGGTGTCACAACATTGACACCGAGGTTGTGATCACGTGTCAAGTGAACCTTGCCTTGGGGAGGTGTACCCAGAGTGTTGTGTTCGTCTGTGCAGGCCCCCACCCGTGTCGTCACAGCAGCAGCAGTATCTTGAACTGCCCTTTCCTGCTGCCCTCCTCTGAATTCTCTCGTTTCCCCCTCGTGACACCTTTCCCCGTCCTCGTCGCGAACAGAGTGGAACTAAACATCTTTTTTATTTTACCAAGTAAGGCCCACTATATAGTTATTTTTCAGAAACGACCTGGTCACAAATTATACCTCAAAGAAGTGGCTTATCATATGGAAATTTATAGGAGCCCAATACTCTAAACGCGTGTTTCTAAGCAACGCAGACGCCCAGAATAAAAACCGAAATCGAGATCCAAACGTCATCGCACCTCCTGGCTTTGATATTCCTCCTCGAAGACACTGGGGTAGCCACCTCCTTCGTGAATGGGAAATAAACGACACGAACCAAATGAGTGCGACTGTGGCCATACAACCTATGGACCCATATTGGTAAACAAGTGTAGTCTGTGCTCCTTCGACGGAGGAGGAACAGCAACACGACACGAACTCTCTCGTGAAGCACTCTCACCGTGACTAGCAGACCTCGACATTAACATTTAGCTCCTAAATATTGCTGCCGTGCGCAAGAAGACAATGGAGAATACCAGAAGAGAATGGAGAACACATGAAGACAATGGAGAACACAAGAAGAGAATGGAGAACACATGAAGACAATTGAGCACACAAGACAATGGAGAACACATGAAGACAATTGAACACACAAGACAATGGAGAACACAAGAAGAGAATGGAGAACACATGAAGACAATTGAACACACAAGACAATGGAGAACACATGAAGACAATTGAGCACACAAGACAATGGAGAACACATGAAGACAATTGAACACACAAGACAATGGAGAACACATGAAGACAACTGAACACACAAGACAATGGAGAACACATGAAGACAATTTAACACACAAGACAATGGAGAACACAGGAAGACAACTGAACACACAAGACAATGGAGAACATATGAAGACAATTGAACACACAAGACAATGGAGAACACATGAAGACAATTGAACACACAAGACAATGGAGAACACATTAAGACAATTGAACATACAAGACAATGGAGAACACACAAGACAATGGAGAACACAAGAAGACAATGGAGAACAGATGAAGACAATTTAACACACAAGACAATGGAGAACACATGAAGACAATTGAACACACAAGACAATGGAGACCACAATAAGACAATTGAACACACAAGACAATGGAGAACACATGAAGACAATTGAACACACAAGACAATGGAGACCACAATAAGGCAATGGAGAATACAAGAAGACAATGGAGAACACAGGGAGACAATGGAGAATACAAGACAATGGATAATACAATAAGACGATGGTCCCTTGCGCACCGCCCTACGCAGGTGCAATACCGCCCTTGCCCACCAGTGGGCGCCACTTAACGCAAACACCCCGTGGGGTGGTGCTGTCCAGTTGTGACGTCAAAGCAACGTGGACCCCCAACCAATCAGAGGGCGCCGGTTCAATCTCAAGGTACGGCGGATGAAACAATGAAAGCGTTTTATCTTAATCTATAACAGTTCTAAAATTGTGCATACGATGAAAGTAGTTCAGATAAAGAGTGGGGTTGTTATTCAGGGTGGTGGTGTAGTTATGGTTACAGGAGAACAGGCGGGAGAGGTTAAGGAGGGGTTGAGATACAGTTAATGATCGAGGTAGGGGTAGTGATAGGGGTTGGGGTAGTGATAGGGGTTGGGGTAGTGATGGGTAGGAAGTAGCAGGGAGCGACTGGGCACCGCAGGGCGAAGGAGGCACAAAGAGGGGCGGCAGAGACTGCGAGCGTAGAGGATGGGACACTTTACTGTAGTGAGAAACGAGAGAAGTGAGGAAAGGTGGGGTAAGCCTGCAGAGGAATATATTTACAACGGAGTGAGTAATGTAAACAGTGACTTAGATAGCGAGCCAGTGGCGGTTGGGAAATATGAGTAGAAATGTGGGAAATGTGGGGGATGTTAAAAAGGACCCGGGCTGAGGTATTGCGAGTGTTGTCGGAGAGGAGGGAAGGCGTAGGCAGGAGAAGAGAGGAGCTGAGAAAAGACGAGGGAGTGAACCGGGAGTTTAGCAGCGAGACGACGTATTGAATGCTGAATTCTGTACAGGGGGTGAAAGCGGTAGTGGTGGAGGCACGGTTGGAGAGGGAGGAGTTGAAGATGATAGCGAAGTTGTGAGCAGATGAGACAGGAGGAGTGATGAGCGGTGTAAATGGATTCCGACACCCATACGTAGATCAATCGGCAGTGTGTGGTGAGGTACAGAGTGGGTCCTCCCACCGGCGTGGAAGAGAAAGCCAAATACTCTCTATAAGGGTCCTCCAGAGCTCCCTCTAGTGGAGAGCATTCCGCCAGCAGTGGCGTGAGCAGGGAAATGCAGGGCTGCGCCTTTGCCTATTCCCTACGCTAGGACACGAGATGCATTCTCAGCCTACCTACTTTCCCTTCCTTAAATTCATCACCTTTTAATTCTACACATTGATTCAATTAACTCCTCACAATAGCAATTAGAATATTCCCTGTATTTCAGGTCACAATTTTGCATAGCAATGTTTTGTATGCTAAACACGTCTAAATGCTTGTTAATGGTCATTGCGGTTATTTAGTCAATGAGCGGCGAAGTTAAATTGACGTTTCCTGCGATAATGTTGCTAACAACAAGTTATGTTGCTCCATTTAGCATGGGCTGAAACTATATTTAGAGACAGCAACGATCATGCAACATTTAGAGATAGCAATGGTCATACAGTATTTAGAGATAGCAATGATCATGTAATATTTAAAGATAGCAATGACCGTAGCTTTGACAATCCACTGCTGGCTGAAAGCACCCAGCACCACGTCAGCCATGGGCGTTGTTTGTCCATACTTCGCTGCGCTGGTCAGCAGTGTGGACTCATGAAGCAGGACCGGTTAAGACATCACCCCGCTGATCTCGGCCGTGACTGGGAAAGTTGGAATCAAACTCAGGTTGCCGGATCTTATCGGGCCGTGTGCTTTACCGTTGAGCCACTAATCCAGCCATACAACACTGGGTGAACTTGTTAAGAACGTAACTAACACAAAGCTGCTTTGGTCGCTGTACATTTTGTTCAACGATACTCGGCTGTATGTACTGTGTTAATTACGAACACGTACACGTGAGTGTAGTGTGTAACTGTGCTGTGAAACAGAAGCAACGGAGTCTCCACGTTGAGCAAGAGACGCTGCACCACACAGAAGGAGGCGTGCAGGAGCGATGTGCCGTGAGCCACACGCGGAATCTGGAATCCTTCTCTGCTCCGGAATATCATCGTGGACCACGGCGTTTGCTCTGCTTGAAGGAATAAAAGAGCTCAGGTGATAGAGACACTCGGCCAGGAACAGCTGCGAGATTATTGTTGCCACAAACTACATGCTGGGTTCACTGGGACCGGGTATCCGATGGTGATATTTATTTTGAAACTCTTCCTGGTATAGAGTGTCCCCAATCAATAAACAAACGCTCTCACCTCATTTATTTTAGGACACATTAGCCTGGCACAGTGGTTCACACAGTACGCTATGTACCCAGTGACTTAAGTTCGATACGCAGCCATGACTGACATCAGCTGCGAATGATCGCGCCAGTCACGGGTCTACCCTTCCTCAACCAAAATGACCAACGTGGTGAAGTATGGTCAACACGATTCCCATGACTGAAATGGTGTGCGGATGCCTTCATCCAACAGTAGATTGGCAAAGTGCTGTAAAATATGTAAATCAATGATCCATTACCTGTGGAGGTATGACATAGTCAGCTGCATCCCAAACATTTGCATCTCCATGTAATGCATCACTTGTAAGTGTGACGCTGGGTTGATCTCGTGTCATGTCGGGCTGGAGCTCAGACACCAACTCGCCAGGCGGCGTGCCATCTAAACCTTGCTTTAACTTCCCCTCCTTGGGTTCAAAACGACGGGCATCGGTTTGCGGATCTCGGAATTTCACCTTTGACTCTTTCATTTCTGCATCCGCTCGGAGCGGCGTATCATCCCGTGAAGCAGGTCGCAGAGATCCGGAGTCTGGCTCAGCTCCCTTCCCTTTAGTCTCAGACTGTTGGCGGATTTTCAAAAGTTCTTCTGGCAGAAACCGGCTCTCTGGTTGCTGCAGCTGTGTTGCGTTGGAGTCGCCCTCCGCGGCTCGCGGTCGGGGCGCTCGAGTTGGCCGTGCCGTGTCGGGGTCTGAGCGCCGGGCCCCCCGCTCGTGTGGGCCACCGGAGTCCGGGCGCGCGTGGAGCCGCCGAGGCCGCGCCGGTGACGGCCGCGCCGCTGCGAAGTCGCGCCCCAGCAGGACGGCCCCTTCCACCCTGGTGATGACGGAGCTCTCGATGCTGGTATCGGTCTCCTGGTACGCTTTCTTGGTCACGAACACCCAGCTTGGGAGGCGGGGGGCGGACAGCGTGCGCGGGGGGGGGGGCACAGAAGCGGGCAGAGGACGTCAGCTGGAATGAAATCGTTTTGCGGTAAATTCAAACAAGACATCGCAGGACTGTGATTACTCCCAGAGCAAGCGAGAGACCACAAGAAGAGTATCCCACCATTCCACATATACACGATTGAGTAAGCCTCTACTGTATCGTATCCATTGTATTATCCATGGCTAAAACGCCCAACAATGTACAATATGACAGCGAACTGAATCGTATATCGCATGACGCGAACGGCACTTGGCTAACGAGTTAATCTCAACAACGTCGACATCCATCAAGGGACCTCACGTGATGCGACGTGCGCTTGCGATGACTACGGTGGAGAGACTCCACAAAAAACCTCATTCAGTGTTGGGCAAGAGCAGTGGACGAGTGTGCACCCGGAGGCCACAGGCGATGAGTCGTGCGCACGCGCGTGCTCTTCCTACATAGTTTCCCCATTATCACGGAGGTCACAGAAAACTTCTGCAAAAAATGGAAACATTAACCACCGTGCAAGTTAGACCTTGTTATCGCGACGTCACAGAGGGCTTTAGTCATTGGCAATAATGATGTAGGGGGGGGGGGGGCGATCTCTACACTTAGCATATGGGGGGAGGTGGGGGGCAAAACATTGCCCCAACTGAACCACGTGTGGGTGACAAAGGAGCTGCTGCACAGCGAGGAGCGGTGGTGCAGCGGTTAGCGCGCTGCGGCACGAATTCGGTGACCCGAGCTCAATTCCCATTCACGACCAATACCAGTGACGATTATCTAAACCGGTCATGGGCCTCTCTTAGGTCGACTCAGCCTCAAATGCGCACCTGGTGCGGTGTGTAAACATCACCACTGGGGAGACAAAGGCGGCCGGGCGTGGTACTTGCCACCGACCCCCTCGTGTGCCGTGGCGGGCTTCATCGGTGCTACTCGCTAACAGCACTTGTCCGAACAGTCCGCTGAGGCTATGCGGGGGATCTTTGTCTTGGTGGACAGTGGGCAAAGCAGCCTCTGGACGTGTGTATGGCGTCTGCAGGTCGACACGTGGAGTTGGAAGCGCAGCGTGCGAGCCGAGGCGCGCTGTAGGCGAAAGGCGACGAGAGAGGTGGCGGCGATGCTTGGAACGCGAGCAGCTGTCTCGGTTCGCTACCCAGTCAGGGTTTGAAACTTTGATTATTATTTAAACAGAAAAATCCCCTTTGCTGTACGAATAGTAAACTTGTCAAACAAGGCTGCGTGGTGCACAGTGATGCCTCCTCGGCTCCTGCGTCTCCACGGCGACTGGTGCTGTCTGTTTATATTCTACACTTGGAATTTGGCGAGCAATCTGCGGCATCGTTTCTTTAGCCCCCCCACCGCCGCCCGCAACTCGAACGCATTCTTCAAAAACAACCGGGGTGAGGACGCCTTCAAAACAAAGATGTACAACATGTAGATACGAGGTGACATTTGGGGCGATGGCAGTTCCTCGCATCACGCAGAGAGGTCACGTGGCTCGGTGCCCCGAGAGCGGCCCTGGGCCAGACTCGGCCAGGCAGATGGTGTCGCTGCCTGCCTTGTGATTCTTCCAAGGCGTTCTTCACACAGCCGTGTTGACGTGTCGCTGTTTAAGATGAAACGGCACTCAAGTGAAGCAAACGTTGATACGGGCAGCCGTAGTTCTCAACAAACCAAGGCCTGGGTCACAAACGAGCACGTAAATAATATACCGTTTACAAAAAACGGAACAGCCACACTGGCAAGATGACATAAAGACCCAAGGGAACACGCAAACAAGAATCAATGTGACCCTGCTTGAGGCCAAGTCGCACGCAGCGCTAAGGGACGAGACATCTCTTTCTGAGCGGCTAACTGGGGAACAGCAGAACGTGCGTGCCGTGCCATCGTGGAAGGCCGACCGGAATCAAGAATTGCGAACTCAGGGGGCAGACTGGAGGAGGGGAATGGAGTGATTTTGATCAAGGGAAGGCAACAGAACAATGCGTGCAAATAAGAAAAAGAGTCGAATGAGTTGGGACCACCTGCTGTGACCGATGTGATGAATGGAAATAAATTCCTAAAATATGAACGGTGCACAACTAGCCGTGGCGAGAGAAACCCGTGCTCGGAATTACACCGAGAGACGGAGAAGCACGGATTAGACAACATTCACAGGTTCTGGGCGTCTTCATCGTGACGGTTCAGAGAAGCGGGGCTTGTGCAGGACGCGTCTCGGCTAGACGGCGCGACGCACGGCGGCCGTCAAAAACTACGATGGAGTGGCAGCCACGTGGTGGGTAGATTATTGATGAGTTAGTATTGATGCGTCTTGATAAGTATTGATGACACCGCGTGCCGGATCGTGAAATTGCATCGGCTCGGGGGAGACCTTCGCCCGAGCGCATTTGATCCACACACCACCTTCTGACCGAGCATCAGCCTCTAAGCAACTCAGCCACGTACGACGATTATGACGTATTGTTGTTTATTAATTGTGTTTGTCTTTCGTTACTACCACGCGAAGTGTTAATCCGATGATGAACAGATTCGGATTACTCGGGCCCCACGCAGGCATGGCGCTGCGCGTGCAACGGAAACCGCAGTCGCCTTTGGCTGGAGTTGTTACAACAATCGGCACGCACCAATGGGTGGTGTATATGCCTCTGCATTGCGACATAGCAGAGTGTGTACTTATCCACGCATTAGAGCCACTGTATGCTTCTGAAACGGCATGCTCCAAATTCATACAAAGACCAACTTTGCCTTCGATCCACATGGTGTTGTAACAAGAACACAAATTTGTTAAACCTTGCATCTGGACTTACCTGCAGGGATATATAATGCATTATTAACGCGACAAATGCGTTGAGTGATATAGGTGTCACAACTGAAGGCACATACAGTGAGGGGAAAAAAGTATTTGATCCCTTGCTGATTTTGTACGTTTGCCCACTGACAAAGAAATGATCAGTCTATAATTTTAATGGAAGGTTTATTTGAACAGTGAGAGACAGAATAACAACAACAAAATCGAGAAAAACGCATCTCAAAAATATTATAAGTTGATTTGCATTTTAATGAGGGAAATAAGTATTTGACCCCCTCTCAATCAAAAAGATTTCTGGCTCCCAGGTGTCTTTTATACAGGAAACCAGCTGAGATTAGGAGCACACTCTTAAACGGAGTGCTCCTAATCTCAGCTTGTTACCTGGATAAAAGACACCTGTCCACAGAAGCAATCAATCAATCAGATTCCAAACTCTCCACCATGGCCAAGACCAAAGAGCTCTCCAAGGATGTCAGGGACAAGATTGTAGACCTACACAAGGCTGGAATGGGCTACAAGACCATTGCTAAGCAGCTTGGTGAGAAGGTGACAAAAGTTGGTGCGATTATTTGCAAATGGAAGAAACACAAAAGAACTGTCAATCTCCCTTGGCCTGGGGCTCCATGCAAGATCTCACCTCGTGGAGTTGCAATGATCATGAGAACAGTGAGGAATCAGCCCAGAACTACACGGGAGGATCTTGTCAATGATCTCAAGGCAGCTGGGACCATAGTCACCAAGAAAACAATTGGTAACACACTACGCCGTGAAGGACTGAAATCCTGCAGTGCCCGCAAGGTCCCCCTGCTCAAGAAAGCACATATACATGCCTGTCTGAAGTTTGCCAATGAACATCTGAATGATTCAAAGGACAACTGGGTGAGTGTTGTGGTCAGATGAAACCAAAATGGAGCTCTTTGGCATCAACTCAACTCGCCGTGTTTGGAGAAGGAGGAATGCTGCCTATGACCCCAAGAACACCATCCCCACCGTCAAACATGGAGGTGGAAACATTATGCTTTGGGGTGTTTTTCTGCTCAGGGGACAGGACAATTGTCACCACATCAAAGGGACGATGGACGGGGCCATGTACCATCAAATCTTGGGTGAGAACCTCCTTCCCTCAGCCAGGGCATTGAAAATGGGTCGTGGATGGGTATTCCAGCATGACAATGACCCAAAACACACGGCCAAGGCAACAAAGGAGTAGCTCAAGAAGAAGCACATTAAGGTCCTGGAGTGGCCTAGCCAGTCTCCAGACCTTAATCCCATAGAAAATGTGGAGGGAGCTGAAGGTTCGAGTTGCCAAACGTCAGCCTCGAAACCTTAATGACTTGGAGAAGATCTGCAAAGAGGAATGGGACAAAATCCCTCCTGAGATGTGTGCAAACCTCGTGGCCAACTACAATAAACGTCTGACCTCTGTGATTGCCAACAAGGGTTTTGCCACCAAGTACTAAGTCATGTTTTGCAGAGGGGTCAAATACTTATTTCCCTCATTAAAATGCAAATCAATTTATAACATTTTTGACATGCGTTTTTCTGGATTATTGTTGTTGTTATTCTGTCTCTCACTGTTCAAATAAACCTACCATTAAATTTATAGACTGATCATTTCTTTGTCAGTGGGCAAACGTACAAAATCAGCAGGGGATCAAATACTTTTTTCCCTCACTGTAGCCTTCCACAAGACGGTTGCTATAATAGGATAACATGAAAATACTGCTCCGTAATTAATAATAACAATCACAGATTTGCCATTCTGTGAACATTGCAGGTTTGAACACGAGGATGCCACTCTGCTGCAAGTGAACTCAGCACTTTTCCGCTATGCGATTGCGGTGAAGACTTCAGCTCCCCTCTCTTTGCTCATTCAGTGCTCTTCATTTAAACCGCAAAAATGCGTGGAATTGCGGTTGTTTTGTGACTCACCAGAATAATCGCAGGACGATTAAACCACGGGCGTCATAGGCGTTGCTGCCGCTGCTGTTGCTGAGGAAGGCGGATAATTAAGTGGAGTTTCGTTGTGGCATTGCAGTAAACTTTCCTTACGGAGATTTAATACCTGTTGTGTTGAATCGGGTTCACTTTATTTGCAGTGGTATTGTATTGTTACAACTGTATTGTGACGTCTGTATTGTGACGTCTGTATTGCGACGTCTGTACTGTGACGTCTGTATTGTTTAGTGACGTATGTATTGTGACGTCTGTATTGTGACGTCTGTATTGTGATGCCTGTATTGCGACGTCTGTATTGTGACGTCTGTATTGTGACGTCTGTATTGTGACGTCTGTATTGTGACGTCTGTATTGTTTAGTGACGTCTGTATTGTGACGTCTGTATTGTGATGCTTGTATTGTGACGTCTGTATTGTGACGTCTGTATTGTGACGTCTGTATTTTGACGTCTGTATTGTGATGTCTGTATTGTGATGTCTGTATTGTGACGTCTGTATTGTGACGTCTGTATTGTGACGTCTGTATTGTGTTGACACTTGCACAGACAGCACACAAGGCGCTTTCACCTGGGCGACACGTTTGAGACGATCGCCAGATTCATCTGAACACATTTGAAAATCGTTGGAGACATTTCGTGGCTGATATTCTTTGGGTTTTTCGGTAAAGTCACGTAGATAGGTTCAAAGAAAATAACCAAAAATTAACAAAAAACGACGACGTTTCGTCATCACGAGGAGGATGACGACCGCTTGCGTAGCGATGGAAACGTACTTTTTTGTAAAAAAATTGTTATTTTCTTTGAACCTATCTACGTGACTTTACCGAAAGACCCAAAGAATATGAATTCCTGCAGTCACGAAAGCTTTAAGTCAATCATTCTTTAAGTGAAGATTTCGTGGCTCGCTGCGCGGCATGCACGGCACGACATCTCGGAGTGCAATGTGTCACTGACACTGTGCAGGTTCACATGCCAGCGTCCCGCGCGAAGGCGACACGCGAGCGTGCGAGCGAGCAGCTGCAGCTGCAGCGGCGCCGGCGGCTCTTGCACGCGATGCGTGGCCTGCTAATCTGCTCCGGGGGAGATTGGGGGAGGGGTGCTTCTCGACCACGCAGATGCTCGCCGCACCACGCGACGCACGGAGACACCGCGCGCCTCTTGTCCGCCCTTTCCTTGCTGGCTGCGGTGGGCAGCTCCGTTTCTCGTCTTTCTGGATCTGCCATCGCCTCTGAGATGGAGGGGTCCCCGTCTCCCGCCCGCACCCCGCGGAGCCCGGCAGTGCGGCGCGCCTCACCCAATGAGATAGACGAGCACCGCGACTTGCACGGCCCGGAACAGCACCCCCACCGTGCGGTTGTGCGCGATCACGAACTTCTCCGTTTTGTAATCGAAGAAGCTGCAGAGGAGATTCCTCGCTGTCCACGCGTGCTCCTCCATGCTGCACGGCCCGAACCGCGCACGCGGTGACAGAGAGACAGAGATGGTGGTGGTGGTGGTGGTGACGGTGGTGGTGTGGCTGCGTTATTGCAGCTGCGCTTTGCCCGAGCCTCAACTCCTCCCTCCGCCTCCTCGCTGCTGCGGCAGAGACGCTCCCTGCTAAGGCAAAGACAAAGATATCCCGTATGGCCTCCACAAAATGTTGGGGCAAGTGCTCTTAGTGAGCACCTATGAAGGCCGGCACGGTACACGAGGGGATTTTTGGCAAGCACCAAGTCCGGCCGTCTTTGTCTCCCGAGTGGCGATGTTTACACATCGAAGCAGGTACTTATTTAAGACTGAGTCGACTTCGGGGAGGCCCAGGACCGGTTCAGATTTTCGTCACTGGCGTTGGCCGTGAACTTGGGTGGCGTGATCGTGGCGCGGTGCGCTAACCACTGCGCCACCGCTCCCCACGTAGCCCTGCGTACTACACGCACTGGCACAGCCGTCTTTTCGGTCACAATGGTGGGAGCAAACCAGAGCACGGAAAACTCTCGCCTGTGATGGCACAACCCCCACGTGCCGTCTCTGATGGTCACTCAATTTCTCGGCCATTGCACACCGTTGCTATCTAAATCACTCTCATTTCTGTAAAGCGCCTGGAGTTAAGGCTCTCTCCGTGTCAACGTAAAATGAGATAATAATCCATTGTACTGCACTGTTGACGCTCCCTCCACCAATCCATATTGACCAGCGTGGTGAAATTTGGTAAAATAATCGCGACGATCACGCACGGCGTGGTGGACGCATTCATCCAGCAGTGGATTCGCCAAAGGGCCGCGTTGTGCACGAACGGGGCTACCCGAGCGGGCTGCGGCCGTCAACTCTCGCGGTTCAACCACGGACGGCTCAGACCCGGGTTCAAATCCAGGTCCTCAACGGCGCCGACCGAGTGCCCTGGAACGCGAACGAATCCACACCCCACATCGTCCATTCCTCGAGTTCCTCGAGTAAGTCGACTTGAGTGGAACGCGAGAACGTCCGTGCACGGCAGAGGCGTTGGGCGGTCGCTCGGAACCGAGACCATCAACTCGCCGTCACCGAGAATCCGTGCAGTGAGAATCGAACCCAGCGCGTCTCTTGCGCCGCAGCCAGGATCTATGAACGAGAATGGCCACCTTCGCAGCCACGAGGCCTATCGCGATATCACTTGTCAAGACAAGACCATTATCGCGATAGGTTTCCCGTGGCGCTGTCATTGCAATGCGTTTGCGTGTAGCTGCACCCCCAGCACGGATAAAGATCTTCGAACTTAACTCCACACGCTCCTCAATGACACCGTGGCCGAAAAATGAAAAGTTTCCGAAGCTAATGTACTTTATATACTGGATTGAATCTTCTCCGTGTAATAATGCGCTCGTCTGTGTCTGTCTGGAACGCACCGGGGTCTCGCCACGCCTCGGTTGACGATGCACCTCTCGAACCAAGTCAGCCCTGGAGGGCCTCACCATCTCCATAATTTTGCAACAAAAAAATTCTACAAATATCTTCACAAACCATGCAAAGCGATAAAAATATATATTTTAAACGCTGCGCGTGCCCTGTAAACATGACTGAGTGGAGTTTGTTTATTTACATTATCAGCAGTTTGTCTGTTGTACATCGCCAGTTTGTCTGTTGTACATCACCAGTTTGTCTATTGTACATCACCAGTTTGTCTATTGTACATCAGCAGTTTGTTTATTGTACGTTATTATCAGTGTATATTGTACATCATTGTAGTTACTAGAGTACGGAGCATGGGAAGCTCGGAGAGAGGAGGATTATGGGTACAGCAGCCCGGTCTGCCAGTGAGACACATAGGCAGAGTGAGGCACCTTCTGATGAGAGCCAAAAGGGGCCGTGGCCGAGGGCGGAGCCTGGCACCGCCGGGGAGGATAAAAGGGAGGCTCCGACCCTCAGTCGGGGCTGTCGTCTGGGAAGGGAACTCGTCGTGATGCCTTCGTCTTCACATGCTCAGCATCGTCGGTCGGGTAGCGTACGGACCGTGGGTAGATATCCCCTGTGGCTATATGGAACGGAATAAAAGATGTGCCTCCAACTTTTAGTGTGTCCAGATTGATACACTACATCATCATCAGTGTGTCGATTGTACATCTTTATCATCAGTGTGTCTATTGTATAAATAATGTATCAGCAGCCAATTCCCGAAGCGCTTTGCGAGACTTCCCTCTCCCGCCCTGCCATTGGTCGATATCTTCATGATAGTACGTGAAAACAAACCGAACGATACGATTATGGTGGATCTGGTATCGTACGATAAATACCCCCGCAGTATTGCCACATCGCGGCGACCCTATCGATCACGCTTGCAACACCACTATGACGCAAAGACAAAGATCCCCCGTATAGCCTCAACAGACTGTTGAGGCAAGTGCGGTTAGCGAGCACCTACGAAGACCGGCACGGCACACGAGGGGGTGGGTGGTCGGCACCACGCCCGGCCTGACCTTTATCTCACTCGTGGCGATGTTTACTACACACCGCACCAGGTACTCATTTGAGGCTGAGTCGCCCTAGGTGAGGCCCGGCACCGATTCAGATGATCATGACTGCTGTTGGCCGTGGGCGGGAATCGACGGATTCGTATCGCAGCGCGCTCACTGCAACACCGCCCACACATCTCGGCACGCACCCTCTGAGACGAGACGAGCATTTGGGGCACTGCGTGGAGGCGCCACTGGCTCACGACGCGCACTGCCGAACTGCCCCGCCGCCCCTCCATCGCGCACGGAGGTTGCTGACATCTGTGAGGCGCGACCGCTGAAGCCGCCCCACCGCCCGACTCGCGCGAGAGGAAATTGTCTCTCGGGACGGGGACGACGACGACGAGGAGGAGGAGGAAGAGGAGGAGGAAGAGGAGGAGGAAGCGTGCCCACATCCATTTGCACATCGGAGGAGGTTTGCACCATGACCCCGACTGCCAAGAGACGGTGAGAGCCCTCGTCTCTCGCTGCGACCGCGGGGGCTCCACTCGGAGTGCCTCGCTTGGACCCTGCTTCGTCCTGGCTTAGACACACACGCACATCATCATCATCACCACAACACAGCTGTTGTTTCTAGATCCGAATTACAACATTAATATTTTACTTTTATTTTTCTGTACCCTACTCTACTCGTTCTCTTCGCTCCGTCTCCTCGTTTTATGTTTCTCTATTTGTTACTTTTGCTCTGAACCCAGTGACTCTCGTGCCGACGCCGACACCGTCCTCGGCTCGGCTCCTGCCAAGGGTGCAGCCTGCGGGAATAGCTCAGTGCTCACAGCAGCGCTGCTCCACATCTGTCCGCCTCCCTCATCACCCTCCCTCCTCTCCCTCTCTTCCCTCCTCTCCCTCTCTGCCCTTCTTTATATTTACCTATTCCTCTTACCAGCTCTTCTCTCTTCTCCGTTAAACTTCGTTTTTTCCCTTATTGTTTATTATTTTTGCGGCGGCCAATGTTGTCGGGAAGGCCTCATTCTACACTGCCTCCTCTGCCCTGAACCACGTGCTCGAGGGGCACTCAACCCTTCACTCACTCACCCACTCACTCACTAGCTCACTCACCTACTCACTCAGCCACTCACTCACCCACTCACCCACTCACTCACCCACTCACTCACCCACTCACCCACTCACTCACTCACCCACTCACTCACCCACTCACCCACTCACTCACTCACCCACTCACTCACCCACTCACCCACTCACTCACTCACTCATCCACTCACTCACCCACTCACTCACCCACTCACTCACTAGCTCACTCACCCACTCACCCACTCACTCACCCACTCACTCACCCACTCACTCACCCACTCACTCACTCACTCACCCACTCACCCACTCACCCACTCACCCACTCACCCACTCACTCACCCACTCACTCACTCACCCACTCACTCACTCACCCACTCACTCACTCACTCACCCACTCACTCACTCACTCACCCACTCACTCACTCACCCACTCACTCACTCACCCACTCACTCACCCACTCACCCACTCACTCACCCACTCACTCACCCACTCACTCACCCACTCACTCACTAACCCATTCACCCACTCACTCACCCACTCACTCACTCACCCACTCACTCACCCACTCAATCACTCACTCACCCACTCACTCACTCACTCACCCACTCACTCACTAACCCATTCACCCACTCACTCACCCACTCACTCACTCACCCACTCACTCACCCACTCAATCACTCACTCACCCACTCACTCACTCACCCACTCACTCACTAACCCATTCACCCACTCACTCAACCACTCACTAACTCACCCACTCACCCACTCAATCGCCCACTCACTCACCCACTCACTCACTCACTCACCCACTCAACATTTCACCCACCCCTCCTTTCTGATCTGATCAAGATTATTGGCACATCCGTAGTGCCCCATCACCCTGGCAGGCTGAGTCAGATTGTGGTGGTCACAGGGCATTATCGGTCTTCCTGTGCCTGTGTGTGTGTTGGGGAGCGATAGTGTAGCCCTTAGCGCTACGCTGCGCTACGAACCTGGCGACCCGAGTTCGACTCACGGCCAACACCACCAGTGACGATTATCTGAACCGGTGCTGGGCCTCCCCTAGGTCGACTCAGCCTCAAATGAGTACCTAAAGGCCGCCACGGCACCCCCTTGTGTGCCGTGTCGGCCTTTAAGTGCTCGCTAACAGCACTTGCCCCTCCAATATGTTCAGGCTACACGGGGGATCTTTGTCTTTTGTGTGTTGGAGCACGACCCCTGTGGCTGCGGGATGCATGGACCCTCATCTCTATCCACAATTCCAAGCGGGTTGCTGCCCTTCACACTCCACCGAGAGCGCTCTTCTCGCTATAAAGAACCACGTGTCAAACTCCGCTCACGCCGGCCTTTGTTCAATTCTTGTTCTCCTCGACCTCTCTGCAGCCTTTGACTCTCAGGTCTCCGCATCTCCAGTACGCCTCTTTCCTGGGTACAATGGATGGCACGACATAACCTCTCCCTTAATACCTCCAAGACATGCTACAATCAAACCTCACTTCTCGTACTTCGACATTCCTGTTTCATCGTTCCGCTTCCACTCTTCGTTCTATCACTGGAGCTGTTCCTCAGGGTGCGGCTCCCTCCACATCTCAACCTTTGAATTTGTTAACAACATCCGGAAAACTTGCCCCCTCATCTCAATGTCCGATGATAAAATACTCATCCATTCCCTCATCTTTTCTCGTCTCGACTACTGTAATGGACTTCTTCTTCTTCTTGGTCTTCCTGCCTACGCTTTCACTCCCCTCCAGCAAATTGAGAAAGCTTCGGCCCCCATTCCTTTTCTCTCCATTGGCTGCCCGTCTACTGGCGCTCTTTATTCAAATTCCTCACCCTCGTGTACAAATCACTCCATGGTTCTGCTCCACACTGCCTCGCTTCCCTTACTTCTTATTAGGCTCCATCTCGGCCCCTGAGTTCACAAGCTCCATCATCCCTCACTACCCCCTCCCTGTGCGCAGTTACGTTATTGACTCTTCTGCCTCCCCTCCATTGGAATAAACTCCCACTCCACATTAAACAGGCGACTTCACTTACCAGTTTCTTTCCTCCCTTAAGACTTCTCTATTTTCAATAGTGTATATCCCACTACTAGTTCCTAACCTCGTCCTTATAACCTTAAACATCCTCACCCTTCCATTTACAAACCTCGCCACTCCCTTTTCCTACCATCACCCTTACTTGCCTTCCTTTACCCTCCTCCAATTCTGTTCTCATTATATATAAACAATCTTGGACTAAAGTTAAATCACTCAGAATTACATCTCTTTGCCAACACGATTTTGATATAATTCAATATTAATTGTGATCAATAGAAATTATCCTTAATCCTAAAAATATGGAGATCATGGTATCTTTCTCAAACAAAAATCCAGTTTCATTCTCTTCACCTATTACTGATGTCAGAAACAACACCATTGAATGGAGTGCTTCAAATACTTGGGTTTACTAATTGATTCAAAACTTATATTCCAACCCCATATTGATCACTTCCTGGGCCTCCTTTTATAAAAACAAATGCTCCACTGAACTCGCTACTGCGACAGTGCACCACTGACTCGCTACTGTGACAGCGCACCACTGAACTCGCTACTGCGATAGCACACCACTGAACTCGCTACTGCGACAGCGCTCCACTGAACCCGCTACTGTGACAGCGCACCACTGAACTCGCTACTGCGACAGCGCACCACTGAACTCGCTACTGCGATAGCGCTCCACTGAACTCGCTACTGTGACAGCGCACCACTGAACTCGCTACTGCGATAGCGCTCCACTGAACTCGCTACTGCGATAGCGCTCCACTGAACTCGCTACTGTGACAGCGCACCACTGAACTCGCTACTGCGACAGCGCACCACTGAACTCGCTACTGGGACAGTGCACCACTGACTCGCTACTGTGACAGCGCACCACTGAACTCGCTACTGTGACAGCGCACCACTGAACTCGCTACTGCGACAGCGCACCACTGAACTCGCTACTGCGATAGTGCACCACTGAGCTCGCTACTGTGACAGCACACCACTGACTCGCTACTGTGATAGCGCACCACTGAACTCGCTACTGTGATAGCGCACCACTGAACTCGCTACTGCGATAGCGCACCACTGAACTCGCTACTGCGATAGCGCACCACTGAACTCGCTACTACGACAGCGCACCACTGAACTCGCTACTGCGATAGCGCACCACTGAGCTCGCTACTGCGATAGCGCTCCACTAAACTCGCTACTGTGACAGCGCACCACTGAACTCGCTACTGCGATAGTGCACCACTGAACTCGCTACTGCGATAGCGCACCACTGAACTCGCTACTGCGATAGCGCACCACTGAACTCGCTACTGCGATAGCGCACCACTGAACTCGCTACTGCGATAGTGCACCACTGAACTCGCTACTGTGACAGCGCACCACTGAACTCGCTACTGCGATAGCGCACCACTGAACTCGCTACTGCGATAGTGCACCACTGAGCTCGCTACTGCGATAGCGCACCACTGAACTCGCTACTGTGACAGCGCACCACTGACTCGCTACTGCGATAGCGCTCCACTGAACTCGCTACTGTGATAGTGCACCATCGCCAGCGCTTCATTTTCAGCTGGATATTTCTCACTATCCTTTAAAATAGAACAAGTTTCACCAGCACATCTTAAGAAATCAGAACTAGATACTGAGAACACTGCCAGTTACCAGTCAATTACTAACCTCTCCGTGGTGTGGAGGTGAGTGGTGGTGTGGTGGTGAGTAGTGGTGGTGGTGTGGTGGTGAAAGGTGGTGTCACCCACGATACGTGGGGCTTAAGCACTGGGCACTCATTCACTAACATCGATTAAACATGCTCAATTGTTATTCTTAGTTTTTTTCGGTAAAGTCACGTTGAAGAGAAACAACAAAATAACAAAATATATATAAAACAATACAAAATTCTCACGACGTTTCGACCATAACTCAAACGGTCATCATCAGGTGTGTCGGTTTGCATAAATTTATTTTTAAACGGCACATTTATTTATTTATTTGTAAGCCATCTGTAAGCCATCTGTAAGCCATCTGGCTTCCATGAGAGATTCGTTCATGAGGCTATCCACATATACAAGCACAGAGACAATTTCAACCGAGAAGATGGATTCTATCTTAGCAATCATTGGAAAGAATTGATAAATCATTTCAGTTCTTGATTGATTGTTCACGCTTACAGTGGCTTTCAGACAGCATACATTATAAAAAAATTCGTCTCCCCCCTCCTCTTTTCAAAAAAATAGATGGACTAGTCCTGGGTAAACTGCCAAATCGCTGCGCCTGACGCCAACGTTTTTTTTATAAATAAATAAATGTGCCGTTTAAAAATAAATTTATGCAAACCGACACACCTGATGATGACCGTTTGAGTTATGGTCGAAACGTCGTGAGAATTTTGTATTGTTTTATATATATTTTGTTATTTTGTTGTTTCTCTTCAACGTGACTTTACCGAAAAAACTTAGAATATGAATTACTGCAGTCACGAAAGCTTTAAATCAAAATTTATGCTCAATTGTTCTTGTTAAAATAGACAATTTGCAATTTTATACAAAGTGCATGCTTAGCCTAACATAATAGATTAAAAAAGAAGAAGATAAAACACGATATGGGTCTCATCAGCAGTCGAGCTTGTAAAACAAATGATACCAGGTATTGTTGTTCAACGCGAAATCCATTCAGCGTTGCCATGGAGCATCGTGCTGGGTTTTTTCTCTCCATATATTTCGAAATGTAAGTTGAATTTATCTTTTCACGCACCCATATTCGTACTATATTCATTGTCATATCTAGTTTATATTTGTTGAATTTAAATGTTTTGAAATACCATGTTTTTTATTGTTCTTGATGTAACCCTGCTAGCCCTCGCCAAAGAGGTGATGATGATGGTGGCGGTGTTGGTACGTCTCTCTTAAAGTAATCTCATGGCCCATTGAATGATACATTGTCTACTTATTTCCGTTGTTTTATACATTTGTTAATTTTCACTCACATCGTCCGTTAATCCACAACTTTGTAAGCCACACACGTCTTGAAACATAACACATGTAGGTGTTGTATGTAATAGAATAGTGAATTGCATTTGTGAACCTAACCAATTAATCAATTTCTCGTGTGCAATGCAGGTTGAACTCTGCCGTTTGTGGTCACGTGAAATGGAAGGTTTTGGTAGTTTTGTCGCTTTTCGTGCTCGTGTGTTTACTGCTCAATCTTCGCAGCACCTCGCGGATTTTTGGCAAGCTGTGGAGAAAGCAGAGATTGAACGTCACAGTGGAATCCTCCCGGTGTCTTTTGCAAACGGAAATATTGCAACCGATTCCGAACGGGAACGCCCTGGTCGTGTCGGCGTATTTAGATTCACGACTGGAACCGGGTTCAGTGCGCATCCTCGCCATTGTGAAGAGAGCTCCCCCCCTCGAGCTCCACTGCTACTTTGCATGCCGCAATGGACTTTTCGTGGTGGCTTCCCCAGCCGAAGTCAATTTGTTTCATGATCACTTCGGCTTTCCTTGGGCCGCTGCCCATATCTTGTGCTCGTTGCACGGTGGCCCGTGCCTCAAGCCGGACAAAGTGGCACTCGTGTCCTCGGAGCGATCCGATGGGCAGTGCTTCGTCGCAAACATTCAAAACGCAGCCCGACCGCAACCAGAGTTGAACAGCTTCACCCACAACTTTGGCGTCTGCATCTCCACCCTGTTCGGAGGCTACAACAACGTGCTGCAGTTCACGCAGGCCATGGAGATGTACCGGCTGCTGGGAGCGGGACGCGTCACCATCTACAACAGCAGCTGCGGCCCCGAGTTAGACCGGGTGCTGGCCCACTACACGGCCACTGGTCTGGTCGAGGTGATCCCCTGGCCAATAGATCGGTACCTCACGCCGTCCACGGGGTGGACGTACCCAACTCACCCGGGCGACGTGCATTACTACGGACAAATAGCCGCTCTCAACGACTGCCTCTACCGACACATGTACGACACGCGCTACCTGGTGATGAACGACGTCGACGAGATTATAATTCCAGTGGGTTGCGCTAGTTGGGCTTGCCTCATGATGCACCTCAATAGGATCTATGATGCAGCTGTCTACAGGTTTAATAACCACGTCTTCCCATACACGGCGGTGGACGACTTCGGCAGTGTGTTTGACAGATGGAAGGGGATCCCTGGCCGTAACATTCTGACACAAGTACGCCGTGAACCAAACCCCATCTTTGCATTCAACCCGACAAAGATGATTCTGAACCCGAGGCAGGTTGTCGAGACGTCGGTGCATTACGTGGTGTTTACCTTTGGCAAAAGAGCGTTGGTCTCGAGTTCACTTGCCAAGCTGCACCACTATCGATCGCCTGAAAGGCCAAATATCGATAAACGGGATCTAATCATAGACCCAGTGATGTGGAAGTACAAGGCTGTTCTCGTGAGCAACGTGAATTCCGTGTTGCACAAAGTGGGGCTTCTCCGTTAATTATTAAGGGAGGTGATTGTTTTTTTTTTATATATAACCAATAAAGTTTAACTCAATCTTGGTGCTGCCTTGTATCACTTCAGAGCACGTAGGTGCACGCGTTCAAACATTGCGTTTTAAAATGTGATCTCCCTTCTCCACACCGTCTCGTGTCTGCTGCATTCGGATAATGCGAGTAACATCCTGAAATTTGTGGATTCCTTTTTTTCTCTATTCTATAACGTTTTGGAGATGGGAAGACTGCATAAGGATACGGTGTAAATAAAATATATAATTCGTACATATTCCAGTTGTCGAGGTTTTTTTTTAATGAAAGTTGACATTATCAACGTTTCTGCAGGATGACAATAATGTATTTTATTTCAGACATTCATCGCTGTCATGGATGAATATAAACTCTCTAAACCCGGCAATAGTAGCTGCAGTTTGTAGGTCATGGCATCTGGTTTGCTGTTGCTGATTATTAGACATAAGGAGGCCCCGAGCCAGTAATAGAGTAGCTTGTGTTCAGTGAGCACAGGTTACTGAAGCTATTTATTAATATAAGTTTTGTAATTACATAAAACGAAGAGAATCCTAATGTAGAAAGCGCTTGCTGACGAGTGAGACCGGGGAGCGCTGGATGGGGAATCTCGCCCGTGCCCCCTTCATTTACTCAGCCAATGAGAGTGACCCCCTCCGTGATTTGATTATCACGATTTTTGGTTACAATTGCATTAAACAATAACTATCGTGCCATGCTGTTTGTTCCCCAATGTAATGAGTTCTTAGCCAGGCGAGAACTCGTAAGACCTGGATACAGTCTCAGGTTCCACCTAAGAGAAACCTCAACACAGACATTTCGTTTTGATTTAAAGCTTTCGTGACTGCAGGGATTCATATTCTTGGTTCTTTCGGTAAAGTCACCACGTAGAAGGGAAACAATAAAATAATAAAAATATAAAATAATTACAATATAAAATAAAAAAATATATATAAAATAATAAAAATATAAAATAATTAAAATATAAAATACTAAAAATATAAAATAATAAAAATATAAAGACATTTCGATTGAGGGCATCGCTCAGCGCACGGAGGTGCTGGAGCTCTTCTCTGACAATCGCCCAGACTGGTACCACAGCAGCAGCAGCTCCTGCAACGTCCTCCCCCTCATCGTCCCCCACCTCGTCTGATCCCCGCTCTTCCTGCACAGCATCTGTGCCACCCTGCACCGTTATTAACACCCCTGGAGAGTTTAACATCACAGCCCTCCTCGCCCCGTCTCCCGCGGTCCTCTGTAAGCAAGGCACTCCGCGTTGAGCTGGGTGGTCACTCAGCTGCTAGCGTGTGCCATCGCCTCCATGAGATGGTCACGTGACCAAGTGCGCCCATGGGCTCCTACTCGAGGGGACCCCAGATCACTTGGCTTACAGTGAGGGAACAAAGTATTTGATCCCCTGCTGATTTTGTACTTGTTTGCCCATTGACAAAGAAATGATCAGTCTATAATTTTAATGGTAGGTTTATTTGAACAGTGAGAGACAGAATAACAACAAGAAAATGCAGAAAAACGCATGTCAAAAATGTTATAAATTGATTTGCATTTTAATGAGGGAAATAAGTATTTGACCCCCTCTCAATCAGAAAGATTTCTGGCTCCCAGGCCTCCACCAAATTGGTGTTCGACCAGATGAGGCTTAAAAGAAAGCCGTCCCTTGCTGTGGACCAATCAGTTTCAAGGACAATGCATATATTATAGTATGTTTTTTGTTTGCATTTTGACTGCAGGTATTGTGGTTAATGCAGACATGAATCCTTGTAAAAAGGTTTGAGTTTTGTTGCCAGAAAAAAGGGGAAAACCCTATTATTACGACTTGGAGAAGATCTGCAAAGAGGAGTGGGACAAAATCCCTCCTGAGATGTGTGCAAACCTGGTGGCCAACTACAAGAAACGTCTGACCCCTATGATTGCCAACAAGGGTTTTGCCACCAAGTACTAAGTCATGTTTTGCAGAGGGGTCAAATACTTATTTCCCTCATTACAACGCAAATCAATTTATAACATTTTTGACATGCGTTTTTCTGGATTTTTTTGTTGTTATTCTGTCTCTCACTGTCCAAATAAACCTACCATTAAAATTATAGACTGATCATTTATTCGTCAGTGGGCAAAAGTACAAAATCAGCAGGGGATCAAATACTTTTTTCCCTCACTGTAGCTGAGGAGTAGATGGCTGTGGCCAGTGTCCTTAACCATTCACGTTTGTAGTGTTATGATAACAAGACAAACTCATGTTGACCCTGCAACATTGGTGTGTGTGTCCGTCCCTGTGTCCATTCGGGACACAAGTGTGTGAAAATAAACTCAACACATTTATCAGAACGTAAAATACTACTATATAATAGGCAACGTTTTGGAAAATGCTCCTTTATAGCATGCCAATACAGAGACCCGAGGGATGGGTGGGTACTACTTTTCACCATGGGACCTGATGATTTTAAACAAAAAATATTTCCTACCTGATGATCGGGTTTTAAACTATCAAGTGAATAGTATGCCCAATGAGAAGTTGTTAATGCACACAAGTTTGACGTCTGTGTGGGTGTCCGAGGGTATCGTAAGAGGGGTTTTCAGGCAGAGCCTGCCCTTCATGGCTAACCGACCCGAGGCAGGAAATAACAAAGATAAATTCGCAAACTTGTTATTTCGGGACATGGGACCAACTGTTACGTAAATGTTCCGATTGTTATTATTGGTACGTTTGCATGTCCAGGATAAGCCTCACTGAGTCTCAAAGACTCTTTTTCAGGAGGGTCCTGCGCCAAGTTTTTTGCAGTCGGGGTGCGCTGTTCCTTTGCGACAGCCTGCCTTCAACGCACTGGGGACATTGGGCGGCGGGCATTGACTGAGAACCACCCCTCGTGGCGGGGCGTCCGGGTACACAGTTAAAAGGTTAGCAGTGGGAAAGCCGCCAGCTTTTGCATGCTCGGCGTGGAGTGTGACATGAAACACTGTAATGCAAAAGTTCCCGGCTTGAAACACGTGTATTTAACATTAACGCCATGAAAATGGATCATTCTCGTTTTGCGTGTGTTGATGTGTTTGGAGCTGAATGCCAATGTCGGGGTTTGCGTGCCATGAGTGGGCATCAGGAGATTGTTTGTGTAGTTTTTGCTCCTCATCCTTTGAAGGAACACAGACGCCTGGTTTACTCTACGGTTCATCATTTGGGTTGCGTGGCCGCAATTGCACTACTGCGGCTTGTCTTTAAATTTCCATCCATCACGGAGATGTGCGCAGTCACCTCTTGATGTGAAATGGCTCATTTACGTCCACTTCAAAGTGAAATTCTGAACGCCCGGTGTAAACGTGGAATTGCTCTTTGAAATCAAACGCAATACATCTCGGTATTTTGGGTGATGCATGAAAACGTTACGGTAACCTACTATTTTTTCATCGGTACAGTTAATTGGATTCATCTAATGCACGATATATTTAACATTATTATTGGTAGAGTTGAAATCGCTAATGGGCTCATTATGTAATATTTTGAACAGCGGGCATGCAATTTCATGTATATTATAACATTTCAGTTGTGTAAATTGCAAACTCTTGATACGTGTAAATTATTTCTCCAATAATGTGAATGTTTTAATTACTGGAATACAACTTGTTGCCGTGACTATCCCAGGTGAGAAGTTCATCTTCCGATTTGGTGACTTTCTTCATGCCACTTCGGTGTAGAGGTTCCACCATTATTTATTATTTTAACAAACATTTTTTTTCAAATGTTCTTACACAAACAAATTGGCGCGCCACATTAAAGAAGCCCGTTTGGCCTCAGTGTCTAATTAACCTGAGATTTCTCGTGCAATTCCCTAATCAGGGAATCTCCCGCATGCTGCGTTTAGCAGCCCTTACTCCAAGGGCGATGGAAAGAGAATAAGGATCGCAACAACATCGTTGTGGCTGTCTCATTGTCTTTATTGATATTTATCGCCTCGTTATTCAACATAAATGCCTACAATGCAGGATATTTGCTACAAAAGAGGAAATTATACGATAAACGGGAATATTTAAAAATGCTTACTTTATTTTAAAATAAAAACTACATTTTAAGTCCGATTAATGTAAGCAACAACTACAGGTGCAATTAAACAATTACATGGCACAATTTTAACGATCCCTAATGTCCCACTCTTCCATCGGGCGGCACAGGGAGGAACACATTTTTTTTGTACCCGCCTGGGACTCCACCCGCTCGGTCCTCCTTCCGCGTCCGAAGAGAATTGGGAGTCAGCAGCGAGGCGTTCCCTGGGGCGTTCGGAAGAGCGCTCGGAGCAAGAGCGTCTGCGTGACACCGGCACCGATCACGACGACGCTCTGCAGCGTGGACCACATGTCCACGAGGGCGACGGTCTCGTGGAGCATGTAGATGTCGATGCCTCGACGCACGCGCATCATGTGGTAATGCCTCCACGTGGCAAACATATTCATCTGCACGTGTCGCGATGTGAACTGCACGCACCAACACACCGCACGTGGCACGAGTCCAGGAAAAAATGAAAATCCAGTTATGGGTCTGGTGGATGTTTTCTGAAAGTCACACGGGAATTGCATGAAGGATGAGTAGCAACATGTATCTCGCGTCGGCATTCTATACCCATGAGAGTGATCTCCAGTAAAGGTTTCCTAACGAAAGCCAATTTGTATGAAATGTCTCAGATATATTTATTTATTTTAATGTAAAGTGTCCGTATGAAAGACTGTACCATTGGGCCGAGGCAGCACCACACAGGGTGCAAAGGTGGGTGCTGCTCTCCGACTTAGCACACTGGCTGGAAAAAAAAAATCAACTGTAGCCTCTCCACTCAGAGCCCTGTTCAACAAATGATATGGCGATGTCGCTGCTGCTTTGGCAGTGGTGTTGGACAAGCACGAGTAACAAACTCAACATATTTGTCAATCACACTGTGGCCTTCTTAGGTTCTTTCGGTAAAGTCACGTAGAATGAGAATAAAATAATAAATTGATAAAATAAAATAACACAATAATATTCTCACGACGTTTCGGCCACAACACAAGCGGCCTTCATCAGGTGAAGGGACGAGACTGTCTGGTAGGACAGCGCTGGAGTGAAAGAGCCACGTTCAGATCACGGCCTTTAAGCTGTGTGAGAGGAACAAAGCGCCCTCAACTTTAGCACGCGCTTTGTTCCTCTCACACAGCTTAAAGGCCGTGATCTGAACGTGGCTCTTTCACTCCAGCGCTGTCCTACCAGACAGTCTCGTCCCTTCACCTGATGAAGGCCGCTTGTGTTGTGGCCGAAACGTCGTGAGAATATTATTGTGTTATTTTATTTTATCAATTTATTATTTTATTCTCATTCTACGTGACTTTACCGAAATAACCTAAGAAGATGAATCATTGCAGTCACGAAAGCTTTAAATCGAAACACTGTGGCCGTGAAAATAAAAGTAAATAATCGGCGATGTTTCCGGCGTTTGTCAATGTGTTCATGAGCTCGATGCTCACCGCGAGAGATCTGCAGGCGAGAGTTCGCGCGATGTTGCTGCTATTCCTCCTCCGTTGAAGAAGCGCAGACTACAGCGGTTTACTACAGTGAGGGGAAAAAGTATTTGATCCCCTGCTGATTTTGTACGTTGGCCAACTAACAAAGAAATGATCAGTCTATAATTTTAATGGTATGTTTATTTGAACAGTGAGAGACAGAATAACAACAAAAAATCCAGAAAAACGCATGTCAAAAATGGTATTAAGGTCTGGAGACTGTCTAGGCCACTCCAGGACCTTAATGTGCTTCTTCTTGAGTCACTCCTTTGTTGCCTTGGCCGTGTGTTTTGAGTCATTGTCATGCTAGAATACCCATCCACGACCCATTTTCAATGCCCTGGCTGAGGGAAGGAGGTTCTCACCCAAGATTTGACGGCACATGGCCCCGTCCATCGTCCCTTTGATGCGGTGAAGTTGTCCTGTCCCCTTAGCAGAAAAACACCCCCAAAGCATAATGTTTCCACCTCCATGTTTGACGGTGGGGATGGTGTTCTTGGGGTCATAGAAAGCATTCCTCCTCCTCCAAACACGGCGAGTTGAGTTGATGCCAAAGAGCTCAATTTTGGTCTCATCTGACCACAACACTTTCACCCAGTTGTCCTCTGAATCATTCAGATGTTCATTGGCAAACTTCAGACGGGCATGTATATGTGCTTTCTTGAGCAGGGGGACCTTGCGGGCGCTGCAGGATTTCAGTCCTTCACGGCGTAGTGTTACCAATTGTTTTCTTGGCGACTATGGTCCCAGCGGCCTTGAGATCATTGACAAGATCCTCCCGTGTAGTTCTGGGCTGATTCCTCACCGTTCTCATGATCATTGCAACTCCACGAGGTGAGATCTTGCATGGAGCCCCAGGCTGAGGGAGATTGACAGTTCTTTTGTGTTTCTTCCATTTGCGAATAATCGCACCAACTGTTGTCACCTTCTCACCAAGCTGCTTGGCAATGGTCTTGTAGCCCATTCCAGCCTTGTGTAGGTCTACAATCTTGTCCCTGACATCCTTGGAGAGCTCTTTGGTCTTGGCCATGGTGGAGAGTTTGGAATCTGATTGATTGATTGCTTCTGTGGACAGGTGTCTTTTATCCAGGTAACAAGCTGAGATTAGGAGCACTCCCTTTAAGAGTGTGCTCCTAATCTCAGCTCGTTACCTGTATAAAAGACACCTGGGAGCCAGAAATCTTTCTGATTGAGAGGGGGTCAAATACTTATTTCCCTCATTAAAATGCAAATCAATTTATATTTTTGACATGCGTTTTTCTCGATTGTGTTGTTGTTATTCTGTCTCTCACTGTTCAAATAAACCTACCATTAAAATTATAGACTGATCATTTCTTTGTCAGTGGGCAAACCTACAAAATCAGCAGGGGATCATATACTTTGTTCCCTCACTGTATGTGGGTCCATAGTCTGAGTTGCATGGCCACAGTCGCCCTGCTGTGACTTGGTCGCTCTAAAGGCCACCAATGGCCACCGGTTGACCCTCGGACCTTGCCATCAAGAAGAGTGGCGTAGCGTGCCTGAGCCATGCGTATGAGATGGTCAACTGCACAGATCGTGCCCCATCTACTGGGCGCGAGCGGTCTGGCGGAAGTTCACACGGCGGGGTTTTCGCCGGCAATTTTGCGATTTATGCATTAAAAATCGTGGTGGGTCTGGCCACATTTGTGTCGTTAAGAGCATCCACCCCCCGACACAGCCAGCCGAATGCAATGTTCACGCGCACGAGCGTTTGACGAGCCAATTGCGATCGCTTCAACTCACACCGCGATGGCGACTTGAAGAACAATCGACTTCCCCATAATAGAGGGCTGTCACGTAAACACTTCACGTAAAACAAAACAAACCTTACGAACTGGCTGTGGCGGGTTTACCGACGCATTCATATTTACGCGACCTCACCCAAACAACTTCTAATTTGCGTAATATTTGTCGCGAAAGCCAACAACCACAGTACGTGTTAAACACTCGACTTGAAGAGCAATAATCCACGTAGCCAGGCTTAGCGACGTTGACTGCGAGTGGCGGTGGGGGTCCCGCACATCGCGAACCTCGATAGCGGCCAGGGAATCGTTGCGCTGCGCAGCCTCCGCCTCTCGCTGCTCCGCCTCGAACTTGTAGAAGGTTCCAAACTCCAGGAACACTTGCTTCTTCCCGAAGCGGGCCGCCGAATTGTCTACACACACCTCGTAGGCGCCTGGTCACACCGGTACAAGGTCGTCAAAGAGGGGGACGATTGGAACACACACAGACACGTGTTACACTCTCACACTTCACACACAGACACGTGTTACACTCACACACACAGACACGTGTTACACTCTCACACTGCACGCCACACACACACACGTGTTACACTCTCACACTGCACACACACACACGTGTTACACTCTCACACTGCACACACAGACACGTGTTACACTCTCACACACGTGTTACACTCTCACACTGCACACACATACAGACACGTGTTACACTCACGCACACACACGTGTTACACTCTCACACTGCACACACACACACACGTGTTACACTCTCACACTGCACACACAGACACGTGTTACACTCTTACACTGCACACACAGACACGTGTTACACTCTCACACACGTGTTACACTCTCACACTGCACACACACACACGTGTTATACTCTCACACTGCACACACACACAGACACGTGTTACACTCACGCACACACACGTGTTACACTCTCACACTGCACACACACACACACGTGTTACACTCTCACACTGCACACACACAGACACGTGTTACACTCTCACACTGCACACACAGACACGTGTTACACTCTCACACACGTGTTACACTCTCACACTGCACACACACACACACACGTGTTACACTCTCACACTGCACACACACACAGACACGTGTTACACTCACGCACACACACGTGTTACACTCTCACACTGCACACACACACACACGTGTTACACTCTCACACTGCACACCACACACACACGTGTTACACTCTCACACTGCACACACACACACACACGTGTTACACTCTCACACTGCACACCACACACACACGTGTTACACTCTCACACTGCACACACACACACGTGTTACACTCTCACACTGCACACACACACACGTGTTACACTCTCACACTGCACACCACACACACACGTGTTACACTCTCACACTGCACACACACACACACACGTGTTACACTCTCACACTGCACACCACACACACACGTGTTACACTCTCACACTGCACACACAGACACGTGTTACACTCTCACACTACACACACACACGTGTTACACTCTCACACTGCACACACACAGACGTGTTACACTCTCACACTGCACACACACACACACGTGTTACACTCTCACACTGCACACACACACGTGTTACACTCTCACACTGCGCTGCATATAACAGAGTGAAGGTTATCTATGGAAACAAGTTGCAGCCGTGAGAAATTGTGATACTACGGGACATCTGTGAAAAAGAGCTTTGTAGCTCATCGGATTCCTCCAGTATAAATACTGATTCTGTCATGGTTCCTAACATTGGACTTGCAAAACAGAGGTTCCTGGCTCGATCTCCCGGCACAGAGGCTTTAAACAACGGGCACGTTTCTTAAATGTCCTCTCTCCCCATCTGCCGCTGTCCGTGATTGGGTTCTGTACGATGGGGTAAAGTGTGAGCACACTCACCTCTACCAAGCCGTCTGGTGAGCGTGAAGGGGGAGGCCAAATATCCTCAAAACCGAGGTGCTCTTTGGAGCTCACCAAGGTTATTCACCGAAAGCAAAATCGTGGCACACACTTCGTTGTGCGAAAGGTCTTGGGAATGTTTGGCATGCGGCCGACAAACGCAATTTCTGTTGGATTCCAAATGACATCCGCACAGACACGCGGAGCTGCCCAACAAGCACCGACTTGCTCCCGCACGTGGAGATCTCCTGCACGCTGTTCGTACCCTCGGTCGTGACTTGGAACTCGATGGTTCCACGCTGTCTCTCGTCCAGGTTCGCCTCGAGACGTCCCGACGGGCTACGCACAAACGCCCTGACAGCGTTCTCCTGCTGGAAGCCCAATGTCCACTGCACCTGAGACACGTGGACACAGGAGCACGTCACTCGCCGCCAGGGGTGCGAGACCTGGTGACAGGCGCCTCGTGTCGCCTGCAACACGACGGACGCCCTCATTCGGACGTCGTTAATTCGAATCCAGTCCGTATTTACGTTGAACTTCTTTCGCACCGTACGTAGCAGAGCGTGCTAATCGGAGGTCTGTTGGGAGGAACAACAATCAGTCCGGCTAAATGCCGAAAACAATGTCCCTTTAAGCACCAGAAACCGATCGGACGAGGTATTTGAATGTACGAATTAAATGTTGAAAGACTGAATACTGGCGATACAAAGGCGGTCGGGCGTGGTGTTGGCCACCTCATCCCCTCGTGTGCCGTTCCGGCCTTCATAGGTGCTCGCTAACAGCACTTGCCCCAACAGTCTGTTGGTGCTACACGGGGGGATCTTTGTCTTGTGCGCGTGTGTGTGTGTGTGGCACATCGTGCCACTCTTACCTCAAAGGTAAAGAAGAAATCTCCACCAGGACTCGACGGGACGAAGTAGCACTCCTGCTTGCCTGCAGGCACGTGCACTGCAAAGTCGTAGCGCGTGCTGCTGCCCTGGCGGTCCCCATTCCACGGGGACTCCGAGTGGACCGGCGAGCGGGGCAGCGTCAGCGCCAGGCCGAGGAGAAGGCAGGGCAAGAGTGGAGAGACTCTGGCGCTGTCCATCATCTATCTCGAGTCAGGCTCGATGTTAGCGCAAGAGAATGGGTGCTAACGCAGGCAAACACCATCGTTTTTATGCCCTTGGGTGTGGGAAAACAAGCAGATGCTTTTTTTGTTACATCCACACCCCACGTGAATCGATCATTATCATTCGGGGTCACATTGCCATGAAAATTATGTGTGATGACGATGAAGATACCGATGAATAATGTCGTTTCACGATAATTGTTTTGATGAATAAGGTGCCATTAATGACAATTGTTATGATGAATCAGGTGGCGAAGACAATGTGTGATGGAGGTTGATGTCAAGGACGTTATCACCACCACCATCATCACCACCACCACCACCACTATCATCATCATCACCACCACCATCATCATCATCATCACCACCACCATCATCATCATCACCACCACCACCACCATCATCACCACCACCACCACCATCATCATCATTACCACCACCACCACCATCATCACCACCACCACCACCATCATCATCATCACCACCACCATCATTACCACCACCACCACCACCACTATCATCATCATCACCACCACCATCATCATCATCACCACCACCATCATCATCACCACCACCATCATCATCACCACCACCATCATCATCATCACCACCACCACTATCATCATCATCACCATCATCACCACCACCATCACCACCACCACCATCATCATCATCACCACCACCACCACCATCATCACCACCATCACCACCATCATCATCACCACCACCACCATCATCACCACCATCATCATCATCACCATCATCATCACCACCATCATCATCACCACCACCATCATCATCACCATCATCACCACCACCATCATCACCACCATCATCATCACCACCATCATCACCACCACCACCATCATCACCACCACCACCACCATCATCACCACCACCACCATCACCACCACCACCACCATCATCATCATTACCACCACCACCACCATCATCACCACCACCATCATCATCATCACCACCACCATCATCATCACCACCACCATCATCATCATCACCACCACCACCATCATCATCACCACCACCACCACCATCATCACCACCACCACCATCATCATCATCATCATCACCACCACCACCACCATCATCACCACCACCACCATCATCATCATCACCACCACCACCACCATCATCACCACCATCACCACCATCATCATCACCACCACCATCATCACCACCACCACCATCATCATCACCACCACCATCATCATCATCACCACCACCACCATCATCATCGCTGCTGTCACCGCCAATCACGAGGCAGTCGCGCGCGTCAGTGGAATAATATCGTTTGATCTTCGTTTGAGTCATTAATGTTTTACATATCCATGTACTATTTATATTGGCTATATATATTTAATTATTGCCAATATATTACCGCATCCCCGATTAGCACGGTTGGCTACGTACGGTGCGAAAGAAGTTCAACATACATAGATATTACACAACTAGGATATATGTTGGTGGTGGGGGGGAGGTGGTGGGGGGGAGGTGGTGGGGGGGAGGTGGTGGGGGGGAGGTGGTGGGGGGGGGAGGAGAAAGGCGGTGAGGTTGGAGGGAGGTGGTGAGAGTGGCGGTGGGGGTGAGGTGGTGGGGGGGGGGGGCACGGTAGGGGGAGGCACGGTGGTGGGGGGAGGAGGCGTTGGGGGGGGCACGGTGGGGGGGAGGCACGGTGGTGGGGGGAGGAGGCGGTGGGGGGGGGGGCACAGCCCGGACGTGACGTCCCACGTGACGTCACGTCCCGCTCTCCCACCCTCGGGACGTCGCCATTTCGGAGTCGTGAACCGAGTGGTGCTGGGCGAGGTGAGGTCGCGGCGGGGTTCCTCGCGGGGTTCCTCTCGGGGTCTCGCTGTCAATTACCCCGCTCTCAACTGGGCACGGGGCGGGTAACGCGCTCGCGATGGCGCGAGCGGTGGCCGCTGGCGACACGCACACGCCGTGCGCGATCACGCACGGCGTGTGCGCCATGCGGGAGGGGATGAATGGGGAATGGCGGCGCCGCGCTGCGGGCTCCGGAGCCTTCGCGGCCGCCGTGGCGGAGGCGATCGCGGCCTCCGGGGCCCCCTTCGGGGCAGGGCGCGCGTGTGGCCACCTCGCCCCGCCCGGTCGCAAGCGCCCTGGGGCCGTGCAGCGCATTGTCAGAGGGCGCCGCAGTGGCTAGGGGATGTTGACTACCTCGCCTGGTGTGCAGGAGGTCCGAGGGTTCGATCCAGACCCTGACCGCCTGCTGCTGCTGCTGCTGTGCATTTGGGGTTTGCGTCTCTCTTCGCCCGTGGTCGCGTGAATAAATTATCGGGGGTCCTCCGGTTTTTCCCTCCACATTTAGAATTAACATCACGCGTTTAAAATTATTTGGCTGCTCTGTTTTTCCACACGATAAGCCACTTCGTTGAGCTCATAATTTTTGATAGCCAGGTCGTTGCTTCTGAAAAGAACCACTTAGCTCAGTGGGGCCTTAGCTGGTAAAATAAAAAAAATAAGAGCCTGCGGTGGTGACACCGCCGGCTCGATTCCAGCACAGGAATCGATTCGCTGTCATTGTGCTTAAATATTATGATTGTGTTCACAATCATAATATTTATGCTGGAGGAATCCGATGAGCTCTAAAGCTATTTGGGTCTTTCGGTAAAGTCACGTAGATAGGTTCAAATAATCGATCGCTTGTGTTGTGATCGAAACGTAGTTTTTATTTTCTTTGAACTTATCTACGTGACTACCGAAAGACTCAGAATATGAATTCCTGCAGTCACATAAGCTTTTAGTGAAGATGTATAACGTTATTTTTTCGCAGATGTCCAGTAGGGGCAGGTTAGAACGCTGCAGCAACAACAAAACAAAAACCCGATATCATTTTGCGTCGGAACTGTGAACCCCATGTCTAACCAATCAGGGTATTTATTGCAGATAAACATTTGGTAATTGAGCGTCGTTTTAAATAAATAAAAAACGCGAACCGAACTGCTGATGATGCCGAACGTTGAAACCGCCGGTCCAGTGTTGAGCCAGTGCTTCTGAGATGATGAGCTCTCAGAATACCGTGTAGCTGATGGGATGTGTAAAAACATGCATTTGTTTACGTGGAGGGACTGAGCTGGGATGGTGGTGCGTAACGTCTGCTGATTGTGGAACTTGCAGGATTATACAATTTGGGATAACCCCGCACAAATTAGCAAGACATTTTAGAGAAACGGTTTCGAGGGCTCTGTCCTTCCAATGTCAATGCTGTACCCGCGTTACGTGTGTTTGACTATTCTCCCGATACACGGCATTCAGTGCTGGAAGCCGGCACTCGCTATCCGTGGGGGTTGTCGGCCTCATGATGAGTCGTGAGCGTGCTTCGTGTTTTAGTTTGTGCCACCACTGCCGATGAGATCCTCTCGGGCCCAGTTGGCAGCTTTACAAGTTGTCCGCACGCTGCTGCCGCTGCTGCCGATGGAGTTGTTGAATCGCGCGACCTTTCGAAAACGTGTCTTTATCGTGATAACCACAACCCGCGTAGAGGCTGTGGGATTTAACATTTGAATGAGTAAACGTGGAATTTGAGAGGAGAGGGTCCTTCCGGTACAATATCTGACGGACTTCTTTTGACCTTGGCTCAGTAGCCGTTAGCTTTATAAATCACCTTCACTTCCCAGTAGGCCAAACTCTCCTGTCAGCTGTGCCGCATTGCACGGCGAGGAGTCTCTCCCACGGAACGATGCGCAGAAGACTTGAGGGATGATGACAAAACGGGGAGGTGTCACTTCTGTGGACTTTGAAAAGCAACTTCTTTGTCGATGGATTCGTCGCCATGTCGATTTATTAGTGAAAAAGTTTGTTTTTAATATATATAACACGTGGAAGTTAATGACACTAAACTGCGAGTCTTAATTTATTGGCAAAGTGAATCGTGGATAAATATGCATTAAGTGTCAACCTCAAAGATGCTAACGGAGCGAAGACGAAAGGAACAGCGATACATAAGGAACAGCGATACATAATATGCAAACAAACAGGCTCGTTACATTTTAAAGCGCTATACAAGTCCGGATTATAATTACGACTGGTTGGAAGTCCCCCAGTAGTCGTGAAAGGCCTCGCGTTGCCAATGGATTTCTGTGATTTTCTTCACTGATGTAGGGGTGGGGCATATACAAATAACAATTCGACACAATCGTCAATAGCAATGGCCCTTAGTCGAGAATGGATTTTTGTGTTATAAGGGCAGTGTTACTAATGAATGAATATATTGAGTTTTCGTGAATGCATCGTCACAATTTCATTGACCATTTGAGCAGGGAGATGCACTGATTTGTGTACTTAGAAATTCCCCTTTTGTGTGCATTTTGGTTTGCAGAGTGAGCTTCGGTTTAATACCCCGCGGAATGGACGTGAATATGGCCATGAAGGTAAGCCGCTTCACAAACGGGGTGACTGTTCATCGAGAACACGAACGCTATCAGATATGCCTTACAGGATACTCTTGCCTTGTGCCAGCAGTCACAAGCCTTGAACATCAGCATCAAATAAATGTTCATTATGAACAATACTGATTAAAATTATAGTTCTGCAGCAATAACTAGCCCCTCATCAGTGCAGTACTATTTCAGATGAAGGTATGATGTTTAAAACAGTTTTAACCTTGATATTGGTCAGGTTTGTAGTCCATACAAGTGGACATATGTTGACTATATGGAAGAAGCAATGCTGTACAATTAGATTTGTCTATGTCAATATGGATGTTAGTATTTCAAGGTTGCTCTCCCAACATGAGTTTTATAATGAAATGCCTGGTACACACTAGAGCAGATACAACTAGTTTTATTATTCATTACATGGTATATTATAACAGCTGTATACTCTTTTGGAAAATAAGTAACTATGGATCACCCTTGAATCTATAGAAATTCAGTTGAGCATTTGTTGAACAAGATTTATTTCCATGTCACTCTATGGGAGTCATAGACATGTCATAGGTGTGTTTTCTTTACTTTGGTTGGCTCACACAAACATTGATTCAGAATTTAATAATAGCTACCTGTGGCCTCAACCATTTGTAATCCCCCTTTGTGGGATCAGGAATGGTGATATATGGCTGTTGATAATACAGTGTAAATTTTCTTCTGTGATGACACAACATTTGCACAAAAACGCTTACTAAGCCTGGTTTAAATAATGAGTTGTATCTTGGCTGTGTTTGTAACTGAC